TGTTATATAACACACATCCGCTCGGTGTCTGCTTTACAACAGGTGCCAGTATTCAGGACGTCTCTCCCTGCACCCCTGTCTAGTTGTTATATAACACACATCCGCTCGGTGTCTGCTTTACAACAGGTGCCAGTATTCAGGACGCCTCTCCCTGCTCCCCTGTCTAGTTGTTATATAACACACATCCGCTCGGTGTCTGCTTTACAACAGGTGCCAGTATTCAGGACGTCTCTCCCTGCACCCCTGTCTAGTTGTTATATAACACACACCTGCTCGCTGTCTGCTTTACAACAGGTGCGAGTATTCAGGACGTCTCTCCCTGCTCCCCTGTCTAGTTGTTATATAACACACACCTGCTCGCTGTCTTCTTTGCAACAGGTGCGAGTATTCAGGACACCTCTCCCTGCTCCCCTGTCAAGTGGTGCGGAGATAATCGTGGGGGCAGCCGCAGATGGGATCAACTTGTAGGTATATCGCTGAAACGAAACTTACTCACTTACTTACTCAACATATAGGTGTTTGTGAAGGTCACAATAACCAGCATTTTGAATTGATGTGTTGTTTACGGTATGTCGAACTTTCGGAGCATGACGCGTTTAGAAACTGACATGATTTTGCGAGAAGACAGACACAGCTCTGACTGATGTATGTTTAAAACCGGAAAATGTCAAGCATTTAAAGGCAATTTGTTTGTAATCGAGAGGGGGCGTATGGGCAATGATTCATGATCAGGCACGAAATATTTGGACTTTAGCAACTCATGCTTGTCGAGCAACTTAGTTGATGATTGTTATCGTATCACAAATACAACCGCTGATGCTCATGATGATCACTGAATACAAACTGATTACCAGCTAATACCTCATCTAAGAGAAATACAAATAACAGACAACGTTTGTGTCGTGGTGTTATATCTGGTGAATACAATCATCTTCTTCAGCCCTTCAATATATCTGTTAGCAAGGGATGAGAGTAAAGTGGTCTTTCTTCTGACTGCTGGTTGGCCGCCCTATACCGTCATCTACAATACTGCTGGGGCGTCCTTAACATGGGGAGCTGAAGTGAGGTCTTCCAACCCCATGCTCACTCCACACGTGACGTCAGTCCTCTACATCAAGATGACAGAGACTCAGTTCCTGGTAGGTCCTGGCAGGATGTGTGCAAATAAACACGTGCAAATGAGGTCTGCTGCAGCATCCATTTAGGTGTTTATTCAGTGAGGAATATTCAATATAGACTGTCTCTGCAAAAGTATACCGAGTCATGACTATCTTCAGAAACAAATTCCGTTTGGTGTAACGGGGAAAATACACGTGAGCATTCTATGAATGGATCACTGAAATCAGTGTTGACACCAGGTGTTCGTGAAAAGGTTAAGCCTGTCCCGCCTTACCATTAGCAACCGCCATTTACACTATATTCCTGAATATATAACCATTTAGCCTGACGTTGCACAGCAATACTGTAAATAACCCAAAAGATGGATGAACCGGAAAATGCAGTCAGATAATCTATAATTACGACCACGGTGTAAAGTATAGAAACTCTGACGTTTATGAACAAAATGTTTGGAAAATAAATTTGTTTTACAACATATCGAGCATCAGTCTTTTGCAGTTGACTCAGCATTCTTATGTATGTTACTGAATGTAAAACGGATCTCGGGGACTTCAAGGAACCTGCAGAAATATCGACCGAGTCGACTAATCAACAATATTATAGTGGCGGGCACTCTGAACCTTTATCATGAACCACTATGTTACCAGAGCGGTGTATGACTGCTTAGGTTGGGTGGTTGAGTCTTGAAAATATGGAATTGTTCAACGGTCCTGTTAAAACAGTTTGTGTGCTGAGTGACTAAGACAGCTTTTACGCCGCTCTTAGTAATATTCAAGCAACAGCATTGGATACCAAAAATGGGCTTTACATATTGTACCCACGAACAAAATGGATCTTCAGTGTGAAGAGCGAAGGCTTTAACCACTGCGCTACCCAACCTTTCTTTTTTGATGCTGAGAAAATATCAAAGATGTAGCAGGTGTTCAATTATATATATATTTGGCCCTAATGTACAGTTGACGGGTCACTTTAATGAAACTGAATTGGTTCGTGTCTATTTCAGATATCCGACGATGACGACAGTCTGTTCACAGTTGACTTCACAGTCATAAAACGAGTGCAGATCAAATATCCATAAGTTAAAAATACACACAAAAATACTATACTCAGCATAACTGATAACTTGACATTTATGAATTTCGACATTTTGTTTTTCTGTTTAATCAAATATATTTACAAGTATTTTAAACAGCAGTAAACAGTGTGAATGCTTTAATTTCTTGAATGGCTGTCGCGTAGTCCCGACCTCAATCCAATCGAACACATCTGAAAAGAGCTAGGTCGACGTGTTCGTCAGCAAATGAATATCACTACAGACATCTTCAAGGTCACCTTGTTGATCATTGGCGGCGTCTTCATCTGGGTGTGTTTACTAACGTTCTAAGATCCACGAGGAGACGTTGTGAGGCTGTAAGAGACGCTAGAGGAGGCCATAACCCTTACTGAAGATCTCAGTCGAATGGTTCTCCACGCTGCGAACTTCCTTTTGGGGGGTTCCTTGACATCATAAACGTTGTAAAATCCATGAGGAGACGTTGTGAGGCTGTAAGAGACGCTAGAGGAGGCCACAACCCTTACTGAAGACCTCAGTCGAATTGTTCTCCACGCAGTGAACTTCCTTTTGGAGGGTACATTGACATCATGAACGTTGTCGTTGTTAAAGGGTTTCGGCCAGACATGTATTTTGTTTTCCTTTGATGTCAACATATTCTAGGCACAGCATAAAGCTACAATTATTGTCTTAAACCTAATATTAAAAACCTAGTCCAATAAATGCCGAGTGTCAAGTTTTCAGTTTTGCTCAGTAATCTTGATCTTATTTTTAAAATGGAAACTCCTCTCCCCCCACCACGCCCCGCAAGTTACTTCACCGACATAAAATATGTCAATAAAAATATATATGATAACTTACATTCTAGAAGAAATATTGGTCAAACTTAAAACTCGGAATGGATTACGCGTTTATATAGGTTATCACGCGAGTGTGTTTTGGGATGGTTAATATCCTGCATTAGGAATAATCATTGTATTTAGCGAGCCTTGGCATGAATTTTCTGGGATCAAAGCACTGACAGTACCGCAACCACGGCCGTCAATCTGGACACGACCGCCGACCCTTGACGCCATGTTTGTTTACACTGTGAAAGTAGTCCCTGAAATTTGCATATGACCTCTCTAATTTGCATCGATATCTGTAGATGACCCCAACGGATACCGAAAATATCCGTTGGCTTTATCCTGCCGAGAACACTATCCATTGTATGATAAATCAAACTATCTGCCATGTTAGAAAGTGATAGATTTCGTTTAATAACTCATCCTTAATCGAAATGGTCACTTTCTGATATTTGCTACATTTCCGAAAAACATTAATTTAGATTAAACACAGAAGTAAACCAAATACCAAATTTATGAACGTTTATTTTATGTTCTGTTAGCCTTTAACAAACATTCCCTTAAAAGAAAAAAGTACTGCGTGAGTTAAAACTTAAACTCACACTGGGTTTATTTCAGCCATATTGTCTTGTCAGGATTATCAAATATTGGCTTGAGATTTTGAGAAGTAAACCAGATAAATATATAGTTTTGAAATGTAATTCATTTCTGAACAGTTCACATGAGAACTCTGATGAGAACCCCGATGTTAAAGTTTATTGAGAGATACGCTCTTCAGATTTGGTTTTGACTATATTTGGGTTGCCCAATATGTTCCTGAAAGTTGTGATTTTGTGAGAGAATTGACACAAAGTGCTAACCACCAGGAAGTGAAACGTAACGTTGGGTCTTGTGTAGGACTGACTGCAGTGAACTGTGTCCTACCAGGAAGTGATACGTAACGTTGGGTCTTGTGTAGGACTGACCGCAGTGAAATGTGTCCCACCAGGAAGTGATACGTAACGTTGGGTCTTGTGTAGGACTGACTGCAGTGAACTGTGTCCCACCAGGAAGTGAAACGTAACGTTGGGTCTTGTGTAGGACTGACCGCAGTGAACTGTGTCCCACCAGGAAGTGATACGTAACGTATACGTAGGGTCTTGTGTAGGACTGACCGCAGTGAACTGTGTCCCACCAAGAAGTGATATGTAACGTGGGGTCTTGTGTAGGACTGGCCGCAGGGAACTGTATCCCACCAGGAAGTGAAACGTAACGTTGGGTCTTGGGTAGGACTGACCGCAGTGAACTGTGTCCCACCAGGAAGTGATATGTAAGGTAGGGTATTGTATAGGACTGACCACAGTGAAGTGTGATCAACCAGGAAGTGATATGTCAGGTAGGGTCTTGGGTAGGACTGACCACAGTGAAGTGTGACCGTAACATAGGATCTTGGATTGGACTGAGCACAGTGCTCCACATTTGGAGCTACCATTCTACACTGACGTTTCTGCAATGCAAACAAACTACAATAAAACGCTAAGTCAATTTTCCACGCTGTTTATTAAAGCATCTTAGTAGCAATGTGCATAAAAATGGCAAAGAGGCGACAGTAAAATATCACTGCAATTTACAACAAAACATATAAAAATACAGTTCTGATTGGAAAATACTATCTTGTACGTGAATATCAGTGAACATCACACTTAGATTAGTAGAGTATGTTTTTGTTCATTAAGTACACAATCCCATTCACACAGGGACTATGATGCCGCTCCATGTCGAGATCGCGTTATGAAACAGGTAACTCCCGTCTGTATAAGAATGTGGACCATGTGTGAAAAATATCAATTTTCTGTGTGTGTTTTTTTTATCATTTTCTCCGAAACAGCTCGCATAACGAGGTTCCACAAACTGTTCCGGAATCTGTTTGAAACATCCTGCATACATGTACAGTTCACTAGAAGGCACATTTAGATGTTGGTGTTTCTGTTTTCTAATACTTCGCTGGGAATGTTAACAAACTTCTGAAAGCAGCAACTGACACTAAACTGACTTCTTCTTATACACACATTTTTTCTCCTGCATAGAAATGAAAACTAATGCTTCCATCAATGACTCTTATCGGTCAACAACAACAACAACAACATGTTCATCAAACAAAAAAAGTGTAAGCCACTTGAAGAAGTGTGATCACATACTAGACGCGGTAGGTGTACAGTGAAATACAAACCTGCATACACATATTGCTCAATGGACGGCACAGATGATGTTTGTTGTGGTTTTCAAATACGTTTATCACTGGATAAGGAAACAAAATTCAGAAAGCACCAAATATATACCTGTCAGGAATAAAACTATAATTGACCTGATCATGGGCATTTTATACACAAATATCATCTCCTGCATAAAAAACACAACTGATCCTAAATACCTTTCATCAATGATTCTTACTCTTCACCAATATAAAGACAGTAACGACCTGTAATTTAGTTTTGACCAGGAAGTGAGTTATATTTGATGATGATCCTGACAAACTGTAACGTTTGTTATTGCTGTCTTCCCAAAGCACATCTTTAATAGAACGCATTTGGGAGAATTTGGGAAAATGCCAGTTTATACCGAGAACTTCTTCAAACAAAATAAAAATGTACAATATTTCATGACATTCGTAGCAAATGTGTCTGTATAATTACAAAAGAGTGACAACATTATTTTTGCATTGCACTAAGCAAACACTGACAATCAGATTCAGACCTCTGGGACAAAACAGTTATCTGATAATCAGTGCGTTCAAGCATGGGAAAATTTCAGCTGAACTGGTCCTCAGAATATGAACAAACTAAAGTACCCGGAAGTCGGAAAAACGGAGTCGGCCAAAGGAAAAACTTTCAGCCATTTGATCTGGGCACCAGTCATGTTAAAAGTCAGATTAATCAGTTTGACTATGTGGGCGTCGCGATTTTAAAGTTTTTAATAAGAGACCCTTATCCAAGGTGAAACATTTTGATCTTTCAACATTCAGGAGAAATAGCATGATGCTGCATTTGGTATCACCTTCTGTTTCCTGTCACAGCTATCTTGTCTCTTGGCACACAGATGTAATCATTTGCAGTAATTATGTGACATGGATATCATAGGAACTCTTCCACAAAATACATCCCTTAAATGCTGACACTCAGAACATTGGTATATTAAAAATTAATTATTTGACAAAAACACATACCTTTGATCTGATAAAGACGTAATTTTGAATCCTTAACACAATGTGTAATTCGTACAGACGAAAAGTATTGACGTCTACCGAAGTATGCTTAACTGATTCACAACTGGGAAACATACAGCATATATATGTTTAACTCCTGCATGAAAATATACCAATACATACAAACCAGGAAAGTAAAAACAACATTACACCATAGCGACTACAACAGTTCTCTTCTGTCCATTATGATACAACATTCAATGTCCACTATATTAATTACCTATATTCAGTGAATAATATTTATGTGCACACATTATGCACAAAACACTCATTGCAGCCTCTTCAAAGTAGATTGATGATATCTTCTCTGGCATTTGATGAGTCAAGTCTTTTTCAGCTGTAGACCTTCATGCTACGTATTTGTCTCATTTATCAAAGATTTCTTCAGCTGTAGACCTTCAAGCTAAGTACTTGCCTCCTTTATCAATGATTTATTCAGCTGTAGACCTTTAAGCTACGCATTTGTCTCATTTATCAATGATTTATTCAGCTGTGGACCTTCAAGCTAAGTACTTCCCTCCTTTATCAATGATTTCTTCAACTGTAGACCTTTAGGCTACGCATTCGTCTCCCTTATCAATGATTTCTTCAGCTGTAGACCTTTAAGCTCCGTATTTGTCTCCTTTATCAAAAATTTCTTCAGCTGTAGACCTTCAAGCTACGTATTTGTCTCCTTTATCAATGATTTGTTCAACTGTAGACCTTCACGCTAAGTACTTGTCTCCCTAATCAATGATTTCTTCAGCTGTAGACCTTCAAGCTACGTATTTGTCTCCCTTATCAATGATTTCTTCAACTGTAGACCTTCAAGCTAAGTACTTGTCTCCTTTATCAATGATTTCTTGAACTGTAGTCCTTCAAGCTACGCATTTGTCTCCTTTATCAATGATTTCTTCAACTGTAGACCTTCAAGCTACGTATTTGCCTCCTTTATCAATGATTTCTTCAGCTGTAGACCTTAAAGCTACGTATTTGTGTCCTCTAGCACGGACGTCGTTAAATGTAGGCCTTCAAGTCAAAACACTTCTCCCTTCAGAGGGGACTTTCTAACTGTTGCCCTTCAAGCTAAATACTTGCCTCCTGTACTACAGGCTCCTTCAACTGTAGTCCTTCAAGGTAAGTTCTTGTTCCGCTTATCAAAGACGTCTGTAACTGCAGACTTCGAGTTAAGTACAAGCCCCTTTACCGACTTTATCGGTATAATCAATGGTGTCATTTTCTTGATTTATTTTACCATTTTTGTATCTCTAGCTCCCGAGTTTAAGCTGTGTCTGGCTTGTACATATTCAGATTGTAAACGTCAGACCTCAGTATTGACCTCACCAAGTGATCCAATGGCTTGACATTCCTCTCTGACGCTCCACCTGATATAAGTGTTTCTATGATTTGTCTGCAGTTCACTTTATAGGCAATGTTCAAGGCGTCATCCCCTGTACTGTCAACCAGTGTCAGAATAGCGCCTCTACTTCTCAGGTAGTCAAACACTGCAACTTTACCATGTAACACTGATGTCACGATGCATGTTAAACCACCTTTGTCTTGAGTGTCTATATTGAACTTGTCTGAGATATGCTTCACAATGTCAAGGTGACCGAATTTGCACGCAAGATGTAGAAGAGTGAGTCCATCCTTGTCCACCAGAGTATGGTCAGCATTCCGGGACATCAGGAACTTCATCATACTCATATGGCCTCCAACAACAGCTCTCATTAGAGGCGTGCAACCATTCTTACCCCTTGTGTTGATGCCAAAGCTGCCAATGACCTTCCTAACAATGGCTTTGTTCCCACCTTGACAAGCTGCGTGAAGAACATTATCATTCTGTGGAGTAGTCAAAGATGGAATACCACCAGTTGTTACAATCAAGTCATAAGCCTCCATCTTTCCACTGAGAGCTGCCATCATTATTGGCGTCCATCCATCTTCTCCCGGACTGTTGATGTCAAACAGAGGCAGGAGATACTTTATGATGGACGTGTTTCCTCCCTGACAAGCAAGATGTAGTAAATTGTTCCTGGAGAGATCCAGCAGCTCCATCTCAACGCTTTGTGACACAAGGAGACTGAACACATCCCTCTGTCCTGCCCAGGCTGCATGCATAACTGGTGTGCAGCCATTCCGTCCTTTAGCATTAATGTCCAGAACCTTCAGAAGATTCCTCACAATGACTGTGTCTCCGCCAAGACATGCAAAATGTAGAACGTTATCATTGTAGTCATCGGTTAGATTCAGCTCAGCATCCTTTGACACCAGCAGACGAAAAACATTAGTTTTGCCTGCCAAAGCTGCCTCCATTAAAGCTGTCCTATTGTTGAATCCCCGGTGATTGATATCACTCTGCTGTAGGAGGTATTCTACAATTGAAGTGTTTCCACCACGACAAGCCAAGTGAAATATGGGTGAATTGTAATCATCCTTAAGTGACATGTCTGTTAACGTAGAGACAAGGTCAAACACGTTCTTCACTCCATTCAGGGCTGCGTACATAACAGCTGTCCTGCCATCTTGTCCACGAGTGTGGATGCCACCTGGAAACAGATGCACTATGATAGACCTGTTTCCTCCTTGACAGGCGAGATGAAGCATGTTGTTACCATGGTCGTCAGTTAGAGTGAGATCTGCTTGCTGTGACACAAGCACGTTGAATAGATGTCTGTTTCCTAACGAGGCTGCTATCATCGCTGGTGTCAAACCCTTCTTTCCCCTGGTATTGATGTCAAGCTTTTGAAGAACACACTGAACGATCGTCGTCTCGCCTCCCTTACATGCTAAGTGAAGGACACTGTCTCTGTAGTCATCAATCACTTTCAGATCGGCGTTCTCTGAGACCAGAAAATTAAAAACATTTTTGTTTCTGGCAGAAGCTGCCTTCATGATTGCTGTTCTCCCACTGTCTGCCAAACTGTTGATGTCAACATTTGGATGTAGTTGTTCCACTATTGACTTATTTCCACCAAAACAAGCTAAATGAAACACAGAATTGTTGTGGTCATCTTTCAGCGAAGTATCAGCTCCCTTTGAGACAAGCAGATCAAACACGCTCTTCACTCCGTTTTCAGCTGCGTACATCACAGGCGTCCTGCCATCCTGTCCACGGCTGTTGATGTCAAACAGTGGTAGCAGATGCTCTGTGATCGACATGTTTCCTCCCTGACATGCGAGGTGAAGCATGTTGTTACCGTGGTCGTCTTTCAGAGTGAGATCCACTTCTTTTGAAACAAGCAAGTTGAAAACATCTGACTTTCCAAATCGAGCTGCTACGATAACTGGTGACCAGCCATTCGTTCCCCTCGCATTGAGGTCAGCTGTTGTCAGCAAATGTTCAAGAATGGCTACATTCCCGCCCTCACATGCAAAATGTAAGACGGTGTTATTGAAGTGGTCAGTCAGTTCCAGATCCACTTTTTGTGACACAAGAAAATCAAAAACACGAATGTGCCCTGACTCAGCAGCTTTCATAATTGCAGTTCTCCCGAGATAATCCGAACTATTGACTTTAGATTTTGGCAGTAGACATTTCACAATGGATAGGCTCCCACCTACACATGCTAAGTGAAATACAGAGTTGTTGTAGTCATCCTTCAAGGATACGTCAGCCCCCTGTGACACAAGCAGGTCAAACACGTCCTTCGCTCCACTGGCAGCTGCATACATAACTGGCGTCCATCCTTTATTCCCACGGGTGTCGATGCCAAACACTGTCAGTAGATGTTTCACAATGGAGACATGTCCACCATGACATGCCAGGTGAAGGATATTGTTGTTGTAGTCGTCTTTCAAGTAAAGATTAGTCTTTGCTTTGTCCAGCTGGTCAAATGCATGTTTTGATCCATTGATAGCTGCCTTCATTAGAGGTGTCCAACCGTGATTTCCTTGAATATCAGCGTCAATCTTTGTCAGTAGAATGTCGGGTATGTCATCAAGGAGGCAGGCTAAATGAAGGAGACTGTTGTTATTATCGTCAGTCAATGCCGTGTCTGCATTCTGTGACACGAGGAGGTCGAACACATCCATCCTCCCTGACAATAGAGCACACATCACAGGCGTCATGCCGTTATTCCCTTGACAATATTTGTCTGTTGATGGCAACAACGAATTAACAATGGTTTTATTGGCATACATACATGCCAGATGAAGAACAGTGTTGTTATTGCTATCCCGTAAGGTTAAGTCACGTTTGCCTTGTTTGACTAGATAATCAAAGATATCATTCTTGCCCGCGACTGTTGCATGCATAATTGGTGTCCAGCCATTCACTCCTCGACTGTTGATATGACAAGTGTTACTTTTCTTCAGCTTTTTTTCAACATATTGGAGAAGTGAAATGCTTCCATATTGACAAGCCAAATGGAACAGGTTATTGTTCATGGCATCACACAGTCTGATATCAGCTTTATGAACCACTAGAATTTTCAAACTATCCATCTGTCCACCAGCAACTGCAAACATAACTGGCGTCCAACCATTCACAGCACGTCTGTTGACGTCACAATGGTGGAGGAGTCGGTCTATGATGTCGTTGTTCCCGAGGAAACAGGCATAATGGAGAATGCAGTGCTTTGTTTCATGAGACTTGGTTCCGTCATATGGAAACATTTGATGCACTTTGTCTGCAACTTCCTTCCTTTTCCAGATGGGATGCTTGATGTAGTTAGTGAACGTGCCATCAGCAACAGCTTCAGCCAGTCTGGTGGTGATGGCGTCACTGTGAGCACCTGGGAAATAAATGACAGTCTGTTCTGCTGGAGCGGTGTCATGCTGCTGGTCACGTACATGGTCACAGATGAACTTTAAACTACAGTTATGGAGGAACAGCTCTGGTTTAGTATCCAATATGGCAGACATACACATGTCTTGTATTAGAGGATGGGAACATGAGACAAGGTCTAAAACATCCTTCAGGTGTGTGTCTTGTACTTTGTTGTCAGATCCAGTGTGGTGTGTTCTTGTATTCTGTTCACCTCCACATAGTGACCTCAACAGTAACTTTACTGACAGATCGTCCAGGTGATTTATGTTCTTATGCAGTTCCTGTTTTAGATGGAATTCAGGCATTTCCAAAAACGATTCTTTGTGTTTTTGGAAGGGAGCATATCTTGAGAAAAGCTTGCATGCAAGAGGAAACCCAGTTCTATTTTCGTATGCTATGATTATGTTCACGTTGACCTCAGTTTTACAGTCGGAATGATCTTTATGTTTCAACCATATGGCCTTCTTCTCTTCACCTGTCTTCCAGTTGGTCAGGTCTACTACTGAAGAGTTTTGGAACAATATAGGTTCTTTGAGTTTTGGCCTTGCTTGTTCAAGGTTGTTGGAATCTGTGGTAAATATAAAATACAAGTTCAGACGATCTTTTCTTCTTTGTTCCGTTCCTGGTGTCTGCTGCAGGATGTTGTATCTTCTTTCCAACTTGGTTTTCCAGGGTTCAAGATGTCCATGGAGCTCATACAGAACTTGTCTCAGGCGATGTACGTCCATTGATGGCCCAACGTTCTGAAATATGTCATCGAATATGACACAGATGTCTTTGTCCTTTGACAGAATATCAGACAACTGGAAAGTACCAACGTCCTCAACCAGTACCAGCTCATACCCCTGTCTCCTGAATTCAGCTCCCAGCATCAGGGCCATGGATGTTTTACCTGCTCCCGGGGCACCAGTTATTGTCACGTGGCCAAGTGTTTCCAGTTTGTCTTTAACCTCCCGGTAACCCTCAGTTTCCACGAACAGGTCACTGATGTCTTTCTCCCTGGACGGCTGATCTGTTAGAGATAATACCACACGCTGAAAGAAGTTCGTGGGTATTACTCGGTAAATCATACATTCCTTTTGAAAGTCAGTATTATTGTAGTAACATCTCCTCTCAGAGAACCATCATTCATTTATCATAAAAGTAATTGCTTTATCAGTGAAATGTCGCTTGATGGAACCACAGCGACGTTAAAGGAAAACATTAGTTCCGTTACCTAAGTGGGAAATACAAAGTTGGTACAAAAATCGCAGTTTATATATATACCTGTCGGCTGCTTGTCAATGTTGGGAACATTCTTATGTGTATCCTCGTTTCCTGGTGATTCTGTCAAAATGGACGTCGCAGTTACTTCACAGAAAAATGAAGTTTGTTCTATAAATCAGAGTAGTATGTTCAGGACTCAAGATATTAAATCTGTTATACTGCGAAGGAGACAAGAAACATTACTGACACTTGAAACTACATATATTAAAATATACATTCAATATAACACATCTCTCAGTGATGTCAACAGCAACGCGTCAGTATACTCACCAAACTGCTCCGCTTCAGGCTGCTCCGCTTCAGGCTGCTCCGCTCCAAGCTGCTTCTCAGTCAAGGGAACTGGAACATGTTATGTGATGGTCAGACCATGTTTATCGAACACATACAACAAACAAATCAGTTCAACAGCCTCACTAACATCTACATTAATATAATTACTGCATATTCATATTCTCTAAGACATGAACTATTAATAAAATAATAACTTATCAGATGAGAAACTATGCTAATATAAAGAGACAACATACACACACACATACATGCATTGCCATCAAGATTGCCCCCTCCTGATAACACGCATGCACACTCATTCAAACTCACTCTCTCACTCATACGTGCACATAAATCAGAGGTACCGCCCTTTGTAACTCAAACTCCCGCTCTCTCACAAACAATACACGGCCAGACAGACAGACATGGCGCCAAAAGATTTTAATTTGACTGAACTGAGGAATACTTACCAGCTTCAGGAGTACTGCAAAGAAAAGAAAACATCTGAATTATACTTTGTATTTCATATATAGTTGCACGTGGTCACACCTTGAGCTTCAGCTCAGTTTACAGTTTGCTCATTCAACAGTCGTGTCAACGTATGTACACATATTTAGATGTTAATGACAAGGCATTTCTTTACCATTCATATTTTTCTCTCAAAATTCATTTACGCTCAGTGTATTCCACGGTGACCCAAGTAAGCTATTCATTATCGTTTACGAGTTATAGTTACCTGAATTCGTTATTGGGGTATCTTCTTTTCGATTCTGCCCTTCTCCTCGATCTCCTGGAAATGAATCGGAAGTAAAATTGAAGTTTTAAAGGTATGCTTATGAAATCTAGACAGTTTCATACTTACATGGAACAATGTAAGACAGTGTTGTTTCACTAAAGGTAGCATGTTCTCTACATTATGTGTCCTACATATCATACATGTCATACATATCACACATGTCATACATTAGAGATGCTACTAAAAGTGTCAGTGAAGATTAGTGTATACCCCCATGCGACGATTTAACCCAGGAGTACATATGTTACAGTCTGACAATGTAGAGAATGAATTTTAGCTTATGCAGTTCAATAAACGCCTGGATATATAAGTTCGTTACAAATCAATTGTTGTCTGTTTAATCGTTGATGACAAATTCCAAACATTGTGATGAATACTTTCATGACACATCACAGAAAATTGAAAGGATACGAAAGTGTGTACATGTTTGATTATTTAAATGGGTGACTTTTAATCCTAACATAAATAATCCACTTTCATTTGTTTGCGTTTTTGAAATTCAAAATAATTTTAAATAAATGTTTGGGCAGATTTATTTTCACTCAATATTTTAAATGACAGAAGAATGTTGGTGCTTTGTAGACTGTCGAATTGATGCACATTTATAGAGTAGAATATACACTTACAGTCTGAACACCACCACAGCAAGGATGATACAGACGATGAGGATAATGAGGAATATACACTTACAGTCTGAACATCACCACAGCTAGGATGATACAGACGATGAGGATAATGAGGAATATACACTTACAGTCTGAACATCACCACAGCAAGGATGATACAGACGATGGAGAATACTGGGACAAGGATCGCAGCAAGATTGTTGTCATCGGGGCCTGCCGTGGTTGTGACTGCCGTGGTTGTCACTGTCGTGGTTGTGACTGCCGTGGTTTTCACTGTCGTGGATGGGTCTGCCAAAATACCCGTTGAAAAACAATAATGATAAACACCCACGATAAAAAAAACAACATCCGTATGTCAGATTAATATCAGATAATTATGTGCTGTCCATAACACTTATACCTGTGAACATTTTCAAATTTATCCTCAGCAACCCATGGTCTTAACAAGGAACATTGGGACAAGATTCGCTGTTGTCGTGGTTGTGTGTTCGAAAATGCTTCTCAAAACGAAGAAAAACATAAACCTATTTAATTAAAGGTGTAACCATCCCAATAACCCAGTTTACAACAACATTTTGTAATGCAATTTCCTATGCTATACAATTAGATGCATAAAGGTAAAAAATTGCCTTATAAAATGTCGAGGTTTGGAATCTTCACTGCACCCTACTTTAACAAGTGTTTCAAAAATCACTACCTACCAAGAGTGAGTGAGTGAGTGAAGATTTAAAGTCACAAAGGCAATATCTCAGCCATATCGTGACTCAAACTAGTTCTAAATTCATAATAAATATATATGATATATAAAACCCCGTCAACGAAGGACAGTGACATTGCTAGATTATGGCAAAATCGGTTAAAACTAGATAGCAGATATCTTTAAAAGTACAAACCTATTTTTGGACAATACAATGTAAAAATGTGCTATTGATCGCCAACAACTGAAGGTAGATCACCATACTAGGGTCCATGGGGACTTTTGCTACCTGTATGGACCCCAGCTGGATTTACACCATCCCTTCAGCCGTTAGCGACGTGGCATTTATGCTGAGATTAAGCCATACATTAAAATGACAAAAATACTACGATTAAAATCCTGTTAGACTTAAATATACTTGAAATGTTTTGGGACTTATGTACCTACCTACCAAGAAATGGCTATATGAAATGCGTATTTATGATTTTCTATTTATTGTCTGTGAAGTTAAAGCAGTTAATACGTTTAGGTCCTGCATGAATTACTGTACCTGAAGTCTCATTGCAGAAACCCCCGATGTAGGTCTCTTTACAACCTAACGTACAATGTCCATTCCCGTGATTGCAGGTTTCCTTTAAACAGCCTCCGCTGCAGGATATGTTACACTGGTCGCCATGGTAACCACGAACACATCCCTCAGAACATTTCCCTGTGTACTTCTGACAGTGTCTGAGGTTTCTCCGTGGGTCAGGGTAACAGTTGGAGGGGCAGGTCCTGTCGCAGTTCTCGCCATATATTCCCCAGGAGCATTGCTCATCGCTATGCACCGGTAAAGCTGGAAGAGAATTGTTGTTACATATTAAAACGGACAAATAGTAATGATGCAAGGTAACAAAATTGCAAGGTTGCAAAATGTGAAGACAGTATGAACTCATGTGTTATCTATGACCCTTAGTCTGAATGTGAGTGAGTGAGTAAGTTAAAATATAATATTGGAGCCATATCGTGACGAGGATTTGAATAATCGAAGAACAGTAAAAAACTAGAGGATCAGAGATATGTATATAAAACTAGTATGAAAAGCTAAAACAGTTCAACTATAGAAGACAATACAATATAAGAACAAGCTATGTATTGACAAGAACTGAAGGTAGATCACCATACTATGGTCTATGGGGACTTACAGTAAATTTGCTTCCCGCATGGACCCTAGCTGGATGTCTGAATTGGAGCTAAAGCATCTTCCCCTACGATATAGATATATTACAGGTACTCACTGATCCCCAGCAAAACTGCAAGTAGCCACATTGCGGAAGTTGCTGCTTTACCTGTTGGAAAACAAAACAAATATCGGTAGTAACTACAATAAATAATACAAAATAGATAATAAAATGCTAAAGTTGTCGAGTTTAATTCATTTCTTGTGTAACGACGAAAACGCTATTCGTGAACTTTCAAATATAGCAACAACTCAACCCTGAAACATCATGTAAAACAACTGACAAACTAACAAACAAATGCAACAAACAACGGTTACAGTTTACAAATCAGGAAAGGTTACTGCAAAGAGAATACATGTACATTGTTATTGGAAAATGGATTGCCATTACAAGACTATGGGCAGAAATATGATGGTGGGACATGCTCATCGGGTATCGCCACTTATTTAAAGAAGTTGGAAGCGATGGTGGGACATGCTCATCGGGTATCGCCACTTGTTTAAAGAAGTTGGAAGCGATGGTGGGACATGCTCATCGGGTATCGCCACTTATTTAAAGATGTTGGAAGCGATGGTGGGACATGCTCATCGGGTATCGCCACTTATTTAAAGAAGTTGGAAGCGATGGTGGGACATGCTCATCGGGTATCGCCACTTATTTAAAGAAGTTGGAAGCGATGGTGGACATGCTCATCGGTATCGCCACTTGTTTAAAGAAGTTGGAAGCGATGGTGGGACATGCTCATCGGGTATCGCCGCTTATTTAAAGATGTTGGAAGCGATGGTGGGACATGCTCATCGGGTATCGTCGCTTATTTGAAGAAGTTGGAAGCGATGGTGGGACAAACTCATCGGGTATTGCCACTTATTTAAAGAAGTTGGAAGCGATGGTGGGACATGCTCATCGGGTATCGCCACTTATTTAAAGAAGTTGGAAGCGATAGTGGGACATGCTCATCGGGTATCGTCACTTATTTAAAGAAGTTTGAAGCGATGGTGGGACATGCTCATCGGGTATCGCCACTTATTTAAAGAAGTTGGAAGCGATGGTGGGACATGCTCACCGGGTATCGTCGCTTATTTAAAGAAGTTGGAAGCGATGGTGGGACATGCGAATCGGGTATCGCCACTTATTTAAAGAAGTTTGAAGCGATGGTGGGACATGCTCATCGGGTATCGTCGCTTATTTAAAGAAGTTGGAAGCGATGGTGGGACATGCTCATCGGGTATTGTCGCTTATTTAAAGAAGTTGGAAGCGATGGTGGGACATGCTCATTGGGTATCGCCACTTATTTAAAGAAGTTGGAAGCGATGGTGGGACATGCTAATCGAGTATGGCCACTTATTTAAAGAAGTTGGAAGCGATGGTGGGACATGCTCATCTATGCCAATGACAATGCTTTTAGCAGATTAACTGACTGACTGACTGTGTGAGTTTAGTTTTACGCCGCTTTTAGCAATATTCCAGCAATATCACGGCGGGGGACACCAGAAATGGGCTTCACACATTGTACCAATGTGGGGAATCGAATCCGGGTCTTCGGCGTGACGAGCCAACACTTTAACCTCTAGGCTACCCCACCGCCCTATTTGTAGCAGATTAATAATAATAATAATAATAGTCCACTTGTAACACGCTGAACCTATGCACAGTACATGCTCTAAGCGCACATGTTTGAGAGGAGGTGCGAGAAGTAACACAGAGAAGGCAAGTCTGAACAGAAAGGTTTTGGGTTTCAAACGATGACAATGATTAGGATTTCTTCCTAAAACATTGTCAATACCCGATGTCAAAATACACACAACCTATATTTAATCATTATGTCTGATTTACATTCAGTATGATTTCTGGGTTTCTAACCCCAAAGCCCGAGAAACCGACACAGACGCATGTGAAACCAAACATTCGTCCGTACGGAAACCAAGATGTTTTATTTGTAGTAAATGTTTCCTGAAAAACTTGAATGGCTTCGAAATATAGTGTGCTTTGTTTCCTGCTGACAAGGAACATGTAATCAACCCCAAACATCGCCAATCTGAAACTTACAAACATAAGGTCATGTCGTGACTTTCGTGTGTTCATTGTGCATGTTTAAAACTCTCCCCAAGTTCTGCTCTGGGTACATTTCATTTTGCATACACGCTGTCTTAACATTTTTTGAGAAACAGTTGTGTTTCCACTCTTTTTCAGAAAGAAAATAGCATGGAAATATTGGAGCTGTTGTCACTTGCTTGCATTGTTGGGATCTCACAAGGTAAATCCAGTTTGTAACATTGCTATATACTAAGTAACACTTCAATTACGTAATGCTATTGTTTACATCATATCACTATTATTGACATCTTTATCATTATGTGCGTAAGAGAGTCTTGTTTTACGCCGCTTTTACCAATATTCCCGGTAATATAACGGCGAGGGACACCAGAAATGGGCTTCACACACTGTACCCATGTGAGAAATCGAACCCGTTTCTTCGGCGTGACGAGCGAAAGCTTTAACCGTGAGGCTATCCCACTGTCCCTATCATTGCTCAAACTAGTTTGAGACATACTTTCAGAAATCTGTTCCAGTTGCACCATGCAGAGACGGTCAGTACTGTTCAGGCTGTAGTAACATCTCGGGACAGTGTCTCACACAATGTGACCATGGCTATTTCGGCCTGATGTGCAATCTGTCTGCAGTAAGACGTGCAAGGGAAACATATGCCAATCTTCAGCTACTGGCATTGGCTGTGTTCCGAAGGATGTGCGTCTGGATACCAGGGCGGAAGGTGCCTCATACCATGTGACAGTCCAGGCGGTGGATGTACAGAATGTCCAGGTGGTTGTGATGGAGAGTACTGTTATCTGGACGCTGTGTCCTGTGTGTCTGGCTGCAGTGATGGGCACTACGGATCTGACTGCAAGAAGTGCACTGACAGATGCAAAACATGCAACAGGACATCAGGGGCATGTTGGGAGTGCCATCCGCCATATTTCGGCCGGAACTGCGAGTATTCATGTGATCGATGTATAAAACCATGCAACTTTCGTTGTTTCCATGGATGCCTACCTGGGTTTTATGGCCCTTTCTGCAGTAAGAATTGCAGTGAAAACTGTCGAGTCAACCACATTTCTTTGACCGAAACAGCTGCTAGTTCCGAATGCCAAGAGAAGAGCGGAAAGTGTATCTATGGATGTAAAGATGGCTGGGTCGGTTTACAATGCTCCAATCAGTGTAAGTATGGAATTTCTAGGTATAAGTAATAATTGTTAACAGGTTTATGATTGATGATAGATTTAGTTTTAGTTTTTTATTGTCATGATTACGATAACAGAGAAAATGTCTAAGCATTATATACTTCTCACACTTTGCTAAGGATCACAAAAATGCACAACTTTACTTACACGTAGATTTCTATTTTGAGCTTGTATCCATTTAAAACTGGATAAATAATGAGGGTAACCCCTCTTGAGGCACAAAGTAACCTTAATCTAACCTTATGCACTTGATACATCAGTAACCATAAAAATGGTTTTCATGGCAGCAATCGACCATTTTGCATATCATGGAACGAGTCACTGACAAGTACACAACACCTGTCAATAGCAGGTATGGGATCCACAAGATGAAATGACATACTGAAACCTATGATCCATATTTACAATAAGCTTAGATATTTAAACCAAATTGGACCTCACATCATAGATTTCTGTTGAATCCATGATTTGATCCTTAGCAAAGTGTGAATAGTAAATCTTGACCATGTGGCGTAACGTGATTCTTTTCTCTGTTAAAAAAGAAGTTAAGTCTGTCAGCAATGCTCATTATGTATATCTATGTATGTTTAGATGGGGCTACACAAGCTGCTGATGCTGTTACAATAGGACTTTCAACAGGATCAGCACTTCTATTTCTGATGTTGATGGCAGTGTGCTACCGGTGTCGAAATGTCATGAGATGTGACAGGTAAGATCATAACAGAAGTAAACAGTTGTCTCTGTTGTGTTTTGCATGTCGTGCTCCCCTTACATTACCCAAACCGGTGAAGATTTGGGTTGGAATTGGTCTTCAGCAACCAATACTTATAGTAAAGGCGACTAACGGGATCGAGTGGTCAGGTTTGCTGACTTTTTTTACACATGTCATCGGTTCCCAATTGCGTAGATGAGCGCTCATGCTGCTGATCACTAGATTGTCTTGTGGAGACTCGATTATTTACAGACCGTCGCCATATAGCTTGTAAATTGCTAAGTGCGACGTAAAACAACAAACCAACCAACCCTTACATTACCTGTAGTTCGTAGAAATCAACTGGAAAACAGTATTGTGGCTTGTTGAAACATATAGAAACATCGACAATAAAGTGATTTTTGGTCTTGATCGACTCTCCTTTCAGTTTACCGAGATGGTGTTCATATTTGTTGCTCTACAGTCACCTCCTGGTCAAACCTAGTAGTTTATCAAAGTGCATGAACATACACAACTGCCACTTTGCAGTTGCTATATGTAATTGTGTTTAGAGCTGATGTAAAACGCTCGTTTATCAATGGCTATTACACGTTACTACACTGTACTCATTTTAAGTGTCTATTGTTGTGACTTGTCAGATTAGCATGTACCACACTTGGAGCAAAATACATTATACACAAGGGTGTTACCTGGACACATGTGCTATCATTTGTTAAACTCGCCCTGTGAATTCTACAAAGTAGGAATGAAAATACAAAACAAATTGAGCTTGTGAACGTTACTGGAAAATATCTTGCTATTGTGGACAATTACAGACTCAGTGTGTTAAAATGAGATGACGTTAAAGTGAAAAATATGCTTTATAAATACGACATTTGTTACATTATGGGCGACAGGATAAAGCAAAATGGTTGACACTCAAACAATATAATGAGTCCACTTCTTTTGTTACAAGGATTAAAAAATAGGTTCTCCCTTCACAGAGGCATCCAAGCAGCCTTCCCTCTAGCTGACAGTGTGGAGGAACACAAAGATGCCCCCCGCTGTTGAGTACCATGGGTATTGTGAAATACTGGAGGACGACGGCAACAGGAGTCACCAGCCTATCATGAACCCAGAAGAAGGAAGTGAGTCTCCAATGCCTGTTTTGGCAGATTGTTTCCCAGCAGCAGGATACGGAGGTGGAGGAAGAGGAGGAGGAGGAGGCCGTCAAACATCCCACAAATGTGTGATGCCTGTGTCGATGACACAAGAACTGTCGTTAACTACATAACGCCAGTTGAGTGATACTGACCAACAGATAGTGCCTCTCGAGCCAAATATATACTAAACGTAACGTGTATTGTGTTTCTTTCTTCAGCGGCATGTTCAAGAGTGTTTATTAATCTCCCATTTGTTCAATGCAGCTGTTGACATGCACGATATTTGCACATACTTTTCAGCAATTTGATGCATGATCCTCGTGCAATTCATCTGCATAAGGTTTGAAAGAGAGAGAGAGAGAGAGAGAGAGAGAGAGAGAGAGAGAGAGAGAGAGGGGAGGAGGGAGTGAGAGGAGGGAGAGAGGGAGAGAGAGAGAGAGAGAGAGAGGAGAGAGAGAGAGAGAGAGAGAGAGAGAGAGAGAGAGAGGGAGGGAGAGAGAGCAAGATACATAACATATTGTGAGTGTTTTAACTGTGCCTAAACTTTTGATGGGTAGTATATTTTGTTTTGGTTTGTGAATGGTATGGAGTGAGTGAGTGAGTGAGTGAGTTTAGTTTTACGCCGCACTCAGCAATATTCCAGCTATATGGCGGCGATCTGTTTATAATCGATTCTGGACCAGACAATCCAGTGATCAACAGCATGAACATCGATCTACGCAATTGGGAACCGATGACATGTGTCAACCAAGTCAGCAAGCCTGACCACCCGATCCCGTTAGTTGCCTCTTACGACAAGCATAGTCGCCTTTTGTGACAAGCATGAGTTGCTGAAGACCTATTCTATCCCGGATCTTCACGGGTATGGAAACGGTTAAGGGCAAACACATGTTTTTATCATCTACGAAGAAAATACTGTCACAAGAGTAACAGCGAGGCCGCAACGAACCAGAACAAATATGGCAGGAGAAGGCGGTTGTTGATGATAACAGGCAAGCAGGAAGGGAAATCCCTCAACTGTAACTAGGATTCCATGACAGTCCAGCTGTACCTCACACCTCCCTAGCTTCAGGAGAAGGCGGTTGTTGATGATAACAGGCAAGCAGGAAGGGAATTCCCTCAACTGTAACTAGGATTCCATGACAGTCCAGCTGTACCTCACACCTCCCTAGCTTCAGGAGAAGGCGGTTGTGGATGATAACAGACAAGCAGGAAGGGAATTCTCTCAACTGTAACTAGGATTCCTTGACAGTCCAGCTGTATAAGGAATATATTCAATTTGTTGTCTAACAAGAAAGCGATCACAGTTGTGCAATTGTTGAAATACCTCTGTCGTTTCCATTTACAGTCCGTTTGAGTCAGATATTTTATCATTGTACAAAATTCCCATATAAATATAAATAGAACACATGTTTATCATTTATTAATACCCAACAGCTTTCTTATATTTGAAAATTTTCCGGACTACACCAAAAAAGTTCTTTAAGAAACTATCATTAAAATTTTGACACAGTTCACTATATGTTACGAGGGAGGAGTGCAGAGAAAGGGAGAGCCATGTGTTAGAGAAGCACGTGCACAAGTGCCCACCAAGTTATTTATACATTAGCTTGTACTGTGCAGTCTCCATCATTTCTCGCACACCTGGCTCACCAATGACTCTCATTGTCAAATGGTCACAACGACCCGGGCCTCGATGAATAGAGCGTTCGGAGAACAACGTCGATCTTTACCTCATACCTCACTAGCTGTACCTCACACCTCCCCAGCTGCACGCAACACCTCCCCAGCTGTACCTTAAACCTCTCCAGCTGTACCTCACACCTCACTAGCTGTACCTCACACGTCCCCAGCTGTACCCAGCAACACCTGTACTCCTCACCCCTCCCCAGCTGTACCTTAAACCTCTCCAGCTGTACCTGCACCACCACACCTCCCAGCTGCACCCAACACCTCCCCCAGCTGCTGTACCCTCAACCTCTCCAGCTGGCCTCACACCTCCCCAGCTGTACCCTCCCCAGCACCACCTCCCCCAGCTGTACCTCAAACCTCCCTCCAGCTGTACCTACCCACACCTCCCCAGCTGTACCAAACCCTCCCCAGCTGTACCCAACACCTCCCCAGCTGTACCTCCACCCTAGCTGTACCTTCACACCTCCCCAGCTGTACCCTCACACCTCCCAGCTGTACCTCACACCTCCCCAGCTGTACCTCACACCTCCCTAGCTGTACCTCACACCTCCCCAGCTGTACCTTAAACCTCTCCAGCTGTAACTCACACCTCCCCAGCTGTACCTCACACCTCCCCAGCTGTACCTTAAACCTCCCCAGCTGTACCTCACACCTCCCTAGCTGTACCTCACACCTCCCCAGCTGTACCTCACACCTCCCCAGCTGTACCTCACACCTCCAGCTGTACCTCACACCTCCCAGCTGTACCTTAAACCTCTCCAGCTGTACCTCACACCTCCCCAGCTGTACCTCACACCTCCCCAGCTGTACCTCACACCTCCCCAGCTGTCCCTCACACCTCCCCAGCTGTACCTTAAACCTCTCCAGCTGTACCTCACACCTCCCCAGCTGTACCTTAAACCTCTCCAGCTGTACCTCACACCTCCCTAGCTATACCTCACACCTCCCCAGCTGCACCCACACCTCCCCAGCTGTACCTCCACCTCCTAGCTGTACCCCCAGCTGTACCTCACACCTCCCCAGCTGTACCTTACACCTCTCCAGCTGTACCTCACACCTCCCCAGCTGTACCTCACACCTCCCCAGCTGTACCTCACACCTCCCCAGCTGTACCTCACACCTCCCCAGCTGTACCTCACACCTCCCCAGCTGTACCTCACACCTCCCCAGCTGTACCTCACACCTCCCCAGCTGTACCTCACACCTCCCCAGCTGTACCTCCCCACACCTCCCAGCTGTACCTTAAACCTCTCCAGCTGTACCACACACCTCCCCAGCTGTACCTCACACCTCCCCAGCTGTACCTCACACCTCCCCAGCTGTACCTCACACCTCCCAGCTACCCAGCTGCACCACACACCTCTCGAGCTGTACCTTACACATCATCAAAATATCATTAAAATATTGACATAGTTGAGTATTTGTTACGAGGGAGGAGCGCAATGAGGAGAACAGCCGGGCGTGCGAGAAAGGCGTTCGTACACTCATACCCCTCTCGTAGCCATTTTACTGAACTTGACTGTCTCTGAGCGCAAAAGCGCAGAGAGACAGAAATTGTCTAGTCGCCAAAGTATTTTCAAGGGCATGTAACTCTAGTGTACTTGGAAAACAAACATGGCATTCACGCAAAGGAAATTACTTCAAAGGGTATGTTTAACATGTTTAGATACTTTCCTACGCCATAATGCTAACATATTCTGCTTATAAAAAGTCAGGAAACCCAGGAGGACTATGCAATAATAAAAATATACTTGAAGTGTCTGGGAACAAATTATGCAAGCTGAAATGACAATTATTTCAACTATTTATTTCTTCTCAACTTTCGCGCCTGTTGTTGGCGATCTATAGCCTGTTTTTATATTGTATTGTCCCTATAGTGCTATTAGTTTTAAACTTTCCACGCTAGTTTTAATTCTAATTGTGATATTCTAGTTCTTTTACTGTCCTTCGTCGACAGGTTTTTATATTATACATATATTCCACTTCAAAATCAAATATGTTCTCGTCACGATATGGCTGAAATATTGCCGATGTGACGTTAAAAAAATAACTCACTCACTCACTCTACATTCGCGCATTCTGATTGTCTCCCGGACATGGCTACGAGAGTGGTACGAGTCTTCTTTCAGGTTACGGAAAGGGACGAGAAAGGATGGAGATGGCACAGCACAGGTTAATGAATCAATAACTTTGTCGGCACTTGTGCATGTGCGTGTCGTAACCCTGGCTGTGTACTCTCTCTGCACACCTCCCTCGTAACTGGCTGTGAACTGTGTCAGTACTTTAATGATAGTTTGTTAAACAACTTTTGTGTTTTTAGGACATAAATTCTGCACAAAAATCACCAAGATGGTCTGATGTTTTAACTATGATCAGCGTTTCATTGAGTTTAATATATTTATTAGTTCTCGAGTTAGATTGCAAGTCATCGGTCTGCTTTTCAGCCAGGCCGACTGTAGTTTCCTCGAAGGTCGAGTTGAGATCAGAAAAAGGCATAAAGTTTTAAAGTGCAATATTCCTCTCAAAAGTTCAACAGACGCATCTGCAATGGGTACATACATCTTGTTTTATATATTTGTAATACTAATTGTGTTATTTCTTGAAATGATGTTAAGCATATTGACTTAGGTTGTTTTGCTTTTTTATTGTAGTGACATAGGTAGTTCTGCCACGTTCTGCCCGGTAAAAGGAAATTCAATAATCGGTTTTGCCTACGTAATTCTAAAAGTATTTAATGAAAGAACATTAAAGTAAAGCATGATGCATTTGATCCCACATCGCAAGACTTCCAAAGAAAACAGGGGTGGTGGGGTAGCCTAGTGGTTAAAGCGTTGGCCCGTCACGCCGAAGACCCGGGTTCAATTCCCCACATGGGCACAATGTGTTAAGCCAATTTCTAGTGTCCCCCGCCGTGATATTGCTGGAATATTGCTAAAAGCGGCGTCAAACTAAACTCAGTCAATCAGTCCAAAGAAAACAAGGCCCTTTTCCCAGTAGTTTTCAAGATACCACTTTTTCGCCTCTCCTGAAAATCTACGAAAAGTGACTTAGGTCGTTCTGGTCCTCAACCTTTCCTATCATGTCGATTTGAGAGCACCATACAATATTTCTAAATCTCATGTACGTATTGAAGATGACACTACAATCATGATTGGTGGCTCACACATTGCTACGACCAAACGAGAAATTGTAAATATTTATTACCTCGCGTCCATTCACATCGGCCCTCAAATGGAAGCAGTAGTCCTCATATCCAAGCAAAACGCCTTCAAAGAGAGAGGTACACAAGTTGTACCATGCAAAGGTGTAAACGTCTGTTAGACATCAACTGTGCTGTACTTTGTAACTATACAGCGCCATGAGACAACGCCATATGGGATATTGGTAGTCACGCGCAATACCGTGATCACGTGCCCCAATCATATCTCGTCCTGTGAAGGTCCGGGTTAGAATTGGCCTTCAGTAACCCATGCTTGTCGTAAGAGGCGACTAACAGGATCAGATGGTCAGGCTCGCTGACTTGGTCGACACGTCATCGGTTCCCAGTTGCGCAGATCGATGCTCATGCTGTTGATCACTTGATTGTCTGGTCCAGACTCGATTATTTACAGACCGCCGCCATATAGCTGGGATATTGCTGAGTACGACGTAAAACGAACCTCACTCACTCGTTGTTTTGACATTGAAATGTTTATCCTTTGTTATAGTTAAAACACATGGAATTATCATGAAACGGCCCTCCAATAATCAGAAATTTCCGGCCGCTGCAAATGATATTGGACCGATCAACCTTAACGACGGGCCACTATCAGGTTCTGTTGTCAAGTGACGTCATAGTGGGTGCGTCGGTTCATTCGACATTGGCTTTGGACTGGCAGATAGTCTGGGTCAAACAAGTCAAAGCAACCCGAATTTCCGCTTTAAATAGCTTGCTGGTGCTAACCTTGACAATTGCACTAGTCACGTAATCCGTTACACAGAAGCAGTGAGTCTTTATGGTAGTGTCTTATTATATATTACACAAGGTTGTACTATTTACTTCATAGAATACAACATATCAGTCCAAGTGTCTCCCCATACAACATCTCCCCAGTCCAAGTGTCTCCCCATACAACACATCAGTCCAAGTGTCTTCCCATACAACATCACACATCCTTGGGTAGACTCTGCGACAAGCTGTATCTACTACGACACTGACTAGACAGATATAACAATAAACAGGTTGTGATATATATGAAATATTCACCTAAATAAAGAAGCGCAGAAGAGATGTATTTTTGCTGGTTTCTTTGTTAGTTGTTTAACGCCACACTCAGCAATGTCCCAGCCATATGGTGGCGGTCTGTAAATAATCGAGTCTGGACCAGACAGTCCAGTGATCAACAGCATGAGCATCGGTTTACGCAATTAGGATACGATGACATGTGCAGCTGAAAGGTAGTGTTCGCTTGTTTTGTTTGTTGTTTAACGCCGCACTCAGTGATAGTCCAACTGTATTGCAGCGGTCTGTAAATGGTCGAGTCTGGACCAGACAATACGGTGATCAACATCATGAGCATCTATCTACTCAGCTGGTATACGATGGCATGTGCAAAGATTAGGTAGACCGCTGTAGTAAAGTGAATTCATTCATAGATCAATCCCATACTTCAGCAGTTGTAACAAGTATCTCCCACCATACTCAGCTATAAATAGATCTACCCCCGCGCTACTACTGCTCACAGGTTTACACAATCCATCATCTGATCACACAACCTGCATACAACTCTATTCTAACATTCCTTCCACAAACCTGCACTTCGTAACTTCAAGCCCTCCGTTGTCACACTCCAACAAGCCGAAGTCTCTTTCTCCACATATCGTGATCAGATATTTCTGCAGTCTAGCCGAGACGAGTATTTCCCGAGAATACAACGTGGGCGAGCTTATTACATGTAGGGGTGACAGTCTGTTCGGACATTCACAGATCATTATTTATCAGATGCGTATTTATCAGAAATAACTCAGACATCTTCAATATTTATAAAAGAAACTAACTCAGACATCTTGAATATTTATTTGTGGAAATGTTTGAACATTACGTTGATCGATTGCGTTCTGTTCTGTTCTGTTCGTCAAATGCTATGTACACCTTCTGACCCCTTGTGTGATTATGTAACCGGTTTCAAAGGAAGTGGTACAATGTCTCACGTTGATCTGTGACAACCCAGTACACCTAGGGGCGTGCATACAATGACAACCCAGTACACCTACTTACATCGACCGTGGTTCAGGGACTTTGAGACAGACTAGGCTCGTTTATGAATTCAGCACACTGGTACAGGCCCTTAAACTGTGGAAATCAAGATATGCCACGTAATCTAGACTTGCAGGGGTTTTCATTGATATGTTTGTTTCAGGGTCTGTATGACAGTCTATCAGGTCATCACCGGTGCCTTTTACTTGTCATAGGCCATTGAATTACTTGTACGCTATGGCATAGTTTCTATGGGGTCATATGGGATATATTCTAAGGTAGTTTTAAAATCATTCCAGTCATCGCAAAATACTATTATTTGAAACCTTAAATCCTGTGTATTATCAAGCGGCCACAACATAGATCTGCTGATTCACGTCATCTAAGCCAACCCACGAGAGTTCAAAGCCTTGGTATCTGCCCTAACTACAAATTCATTGTGGCCGTCATTCAACGGCTGTCCACTTACAGAAACAGTTGAAAGAACTAAAACAAAGCCTTTACCCTAAATATCACATAGGAAATATCAATTTAATACGTGCATAGATTCTACTGCCATGGTTGGCCGCGTAGTCTTCAATAATCGGAATTCTACCACAACTTCGTGAAATTCGATTGCAAAATATGTTTTTTAACGTGTGTGATTTTATAACCGCTACATTGCGTGCGACTATAGCACTGTCCTGATACTTCCGTGTCACCACCAGCACAGCTGACACCAACACAACAGGTTCAGAATTTTCATTGCGTGCAACTATAGCACTGTCCTGATACTTCCGTGTCACCACCAGCACAGCTGACACCAACACAACAGGTTCAGAATTTTCATTGCGTGCAACTATAGCACTGTCCTGATACTTCCGTGTCACCACCAGCACAGCTGACACCAACACAACAGGTTCAGAATTTTCATTGCGTGCGACTATAGCACTGTCCTGATACTTCCGTGTCACAACCAGCACAGCTGACACCAACACAACAGGTTCAGAATTTTTTACATTGCGTGCAACTATAGCACTGTCCTGATACTTCCGTGTCACCACCAGCACAGCTGACACCAACACAACAGGTTCAGAATTTTCATTGCGTGCAACTATAGCACTGTCCTGATACTTCCGTGTCACCACCAGCACAGCTGACACCAACACAACAGGTTCAGAATTTTCATTGCGTGCAACTATAGCACTGTCCTGATACTTCCGTGTCACCACCAGCACAGCTGACACCAACACAACAGGTTCAGAATTTTCATTGCGTGCGACTATAGCACTGTCCTGATACTTCCGTGCCACAACCAGCACAGCTGACACCAACATAACAGGTTCAGAATTTCGATTTTCTACAGTGTTTCCAAAGTATATGTTCAAGACCTGGCACAATTCACTGATAATGAGTTAAATTCAGTTCTCCCAACCAACACAGTTCAGTATAATCAACCTCATAAAATTAGTATTCAACATAGAGGAAATAAATGGTTTAACTGAAAATTGTCTGCTTAAACACGTAGGCCTACTTAAAGAACACTTCTCGTTTGGAACTATTTTTGAAAACAAACACATGGTAATAAAAGCTCATAGTCATTTTTCACCACATTTATTGTCGGAAAACATAGAAAGTTCAATCCCATACAACAAAGAGCCTGATACTGCATTAACAAGATCGATGAATGAAGAATCAACAATAATCACAGTTAATGTATAGTACTTGGTTACGAAGATAGCAACCATAATGACAGAAAATGAAGACACGTGTGGAGTTAGTGAGAAAGTCATTTCAAACTACTGAAGCCAACCGCTGCCTTACAATCTTTTTTTCTTTTGTATAACCAGGCCCTGACATTAACAGACTCAATTACATAGACCTTGGTGTTCATCTGCAATTATGTGTTATTACTTTATACCTTGAAAAACATTTTCCACGATATATAGATAAGATATTCCTGTATATACATCAGATGCAAAACAAAGAATGTTATGGGGGCACACTCTACGAGGCTCGCCTCAACTCTATTTTCCTGAATGTCACACACAACTACACCCTGCGTACACTACACGGTACAGTTCGATTTTTCAAGCTGATGAAATTATTCAACATTTGTCTCGAAAATATGATAATGGTAAATTTTACTCAACATTTATCATATTAGTCTCCTTACATCTGCCACTGTACCATTCATTTTAATAATAATCAAACAGATTTACAACGCATATCCCTTACCATAAGCAGACAATAATTAACAAATGGAAAAGCGTTGTTAAAATACATCATTATGTTCATACCTAATTAACAGCAAATATTGATGTAATGTTTGCCACCTGGTAAGGTGGATGTTTGTTTCCGTCCATTATCGCATGGTAACTTCACGTTGGTACACTACACTGTTAATTTTACTATAATCACTGCTGGGTATCTATGTTGGTACACTATAAATCTAGGTACTGCCATCCATGTTGGTAAAATAATCACTTGAAACATGTTGGTATAAAGAACTTGTTACCAGGCGCTTCACTATAATCACTTCTGGGTATCCATGTTGGTACACTATAATCACTGCTGGGTATCATTGTTGGTTCACATTAAATCCCATCTGCGCACAATTCCCTGTCCAGGGGAAGAAAGACAATGTCCAAGGAAACTCAGCCACTGTGATTACTTTGCCGCATGCCTGGTAGAGGTCTGTGAACTTGTTGGTAAACACCGACTTGTCCGCCAAAGTATTATTCTCCCATTCAGTCAGGAATACGCCACTATCACTTCCGACGTTCTGTCTGTCACTATATGAAAACACTTCCATCTCCGATTCTTTCGAAATGTGAAACTGTTGCGTTACCACCTACACTTCTTTAACACTTCAAAAGGTATGTCAGGCCATCCCATGTAGTGCTGGCCGGGGTAGCAGTACTACGGCACATCAAACAGTAAACAGGTTATTGTCGTGTTTTGGGCTTTATCGGTTCCTTTTGCCAATATACTCAGTCGTTGCAGGGAATTCTACCATGAATCAAGAAAATACTAGATTCTGATTGGTTGTTCAGAAAAATCAGACGGCATCAATTGTGGATTGACGCTCATCTGATTGTAAGGCCGCTTCACCGCGCATTGACAAATCTTATTGTGAGAACTACTTCCGTTTGACCACAATGATGGCGGATCATAACAACAACTCCATGGATTTTGACGCTGACTTTCGATTATTCCACATAGGCAATTGGAATTTTTTTGGATTAAAAATGCGTTTGATTTCATTGCGCTTCACTGCGCACGTATAGAACACTGCCGCACTACTTCAGCTTGACCACCAACATGACTAATATCAACACAACAGACGTGATGGAAATGCTGATAAAACATTTATTTAAACTCGAAAAATACAATTATATGATCCCCCCCTCCACCCCCACAATTATGAGGGAACCTCACGATCATATTACCTTCTATTATAAAAATATTCAAACTCAATTACAATACACAGCCCCAAACATAAACAAAACAATATCTAACATATAAATCAGAAAGCCTTGTAAAAATACATCCCTATCTATACAAAATATGCAGCAAAACATTAGTAAACATTTACCTACCTGGTAAATGGTATATTTAATTCCGTTTAGAATGGGAAATTTGCAAGATAGATCTAACGGTCTGGCGAAACACCACATTTATGCCACTCATAGTCATACTCCATCATATCCCGTTGCATCGTTCACAAAATAATTCTGCTCTCTGCCAGCTTCCCCGCAAGGTTGTCACTGTTATGTTCATCTACTTTGAAAAACGCTTGGACACAGTCCAGTCCCAAACGATGAAAACAAAGTTCCAAGGAATCACAAGTTAGTCGCATGTACACTAAGCAGCAACACTGTCACTCTTTTGTCGCATGCCGGGGTGGAGGCAGTACGTGAAATCATAATCGGCCGGTCATAAAAATCAACAGTCTTTGATGAGTTACAGGTCGTAGGTTGATCAGGAAAGGATCTATTCTTCGATTCTGCAGGGTTCAGGTTCGACAGTCAGTCAAGTATTGTCCACTGTCACTTCAAATTTCAACCTTTCGCAAAATGTAAACACTGGCTCGGCCGCCATTTCAAACTGTTGCGTAACTGTCTACTTCGAAGAAAATAAGTAGGTCAGACGATTCCATTATAGTGTGGCCAGGGGGGTACAGTTTCACGGCACACAAAACAATAGGCTGGTTTTAGTCGTGTGGAGTTGGGATGAAAAAAACAACAAGATCTCGGGTATTACATAATTGCATTGAATAAACAGTAGTTTGATTTCTTTGGACAGAATATTGTTATGTTGTAATGTTAAAAAAATACGAACGGCACCTACCGCTCCCTTCACAGACGAGTTCAATTCGCCTCTCGTCCCATGCCGGATTACGCAGTGTCTTCCGCAGAGCGAGGAAGTTCGATTTTAAATGTGTCATGGTAGAATGGAGATAACCCTAGTGTGTTTGAAAATCAGAGACATGCTTTACTGAATTGATGGCGACTAAATATTTCAATTGAAATTTAGTCGCCATCAATTCAGTAAAGCATGTCTCTGATTTTCAAACACACTAGGTTTATCTCCTAAATATCACGGTCTTCCGCGGAACGAACGAGTGCACATCATAATGGTCATGGCAAAATGCAGAAAAGTATTCAATTTTGAAAACTACACTAAGGTTACATTGAATAAATAGTCTCTAACCTTTATTATTTGAAGCCTGACGCTTCACAGCATGAATAGAAACATAATCAGCCATCACACCCAGTCAATATAACACACTGACCACAAAACATAACATAAACAATCTTACGGTAATTTTAATACAGCAGCAAATATTGCGGGTCAGTCTTATCAGTTTTCTTTCTCAAAGTGGTTGTGTGATATGAACAGTTTATTTTTACATATTTTAAATTCACCATCAATCGCTTGTACTTCAAACATAGCGGAAAGCCCAATAACCTCTGTACTTATCTGGTCATAGCTCGCGAAATCGTGCACTGTTTAAAACACGGGTTACACCAGGTTAAAGCTCACACGCTTGGGGTCATTAAGGTTACAACTTGTATTTTGCTTACTTGTGTTAACATCTTAGTTCACAGTTTAAAACGTATTTTTACGCCACCGTCACTGCTGAGCGTAACAAGTGAGCGAAATACAAGTCACGAAGTTATTACTAAAGCCGTGTAAGTTGGTGATACTGTCAATCACTTGCTTGGTAACCTGCAAAACAATTCTCCGTTAAGTCTCACACAAATCTCACAAAGAAGGTATCGTTTGTAACAAAACAAGTGACTTGTAAACACATGACTTACCCTGACTGTGTAAAGTTCAGAATGGTCCTCAGTATTCCATCTCAAGCAGACGTAGTTTGTTCATTGGTTAGTTGGTAGGCCATCAACCAATCCGATTGCTTGCTGCCATGTGTCCAACTAATTAGTATGCGGTGTTCAACCCATCACCTTCGTCCCGTAGCTAGCAGGCAGGGGCAGACCACTCCGTTCCGTTAATACCATGTGAGCATGTGTATGTCCTTTTCTCTTGACCAACCAGATTCCTCCCTTTACTTGGGCAACTCATGCCTGTCGGAAATGTGGTGAGACACGCCGAGCTGGTCGATGCGTAGCATCGTATCCCAGGTTTGTAGATCGATGCTCACTAGACAGTCTTCACCGTCAATAAGCTCGAACATTGCTGTGCGCTGTGTTAAACAAAAGACTAACGAAATAACAATAAAGACAGGATACAACCTCGCTGTGAAGGACTTACACATGGTTATAACATTTTACTAACGCTTCACTTGGTTCCATGATCTTGACCTGAGGGCTCTAGCAAGGGGCTCCCATTTCTTGTGGCAACCATGTAATCTGATGTTTTCGAATATATTTTTGAATTTGACAAGTATCACTTAATATTTTAACGAATACACCAGAGGATACTTTTCGCAGTTTTGTACCAGATAAATGAATAAATCGTTTTGACGGAAGTAGAATATGGTTATCATTTAATGCACAAGGTCCAAGTGTGTTCAAATTCAGTATTCAATTATTGTTGATAAATGTTTCAACCTGTGGCCAGAAGTCCTGAATATGCCCATAATGTATATGACCAGAAGTCAAAGATAAATAGATGGATGGATGGATGGAAGGATGGATGATGATGCGGATGGATGGATGGATGGAGGGAGAGATTCCCCACATGGTACTGTGTGTAAAGCTCATTTCTGGTGTTCTCTGATATTGTTGGTATATTGTTTAAAGCGGCGCAAACTAAACTAAACACTTGAACCACTAGGCTACCCCACCGCCCCTATGATGGACAGAACCTTGATATATTCCAAACAGGCGTTGTCTATTACACGGAAACACACTGTGTTGATAACATCAAATAATATCCTGTTAACATATTATACGACTGTATCTATGCTTAAACAGATGGTCTATCCATGTCAGTGCGGCCTATTGCACTAGGTCCGGGGCGGTCGTAGGTTGAGACAGATGACGTTGTTAACGCCAACATATGATCATAAATATCAGCTTGTGATTCACCCCTCGGCAGTTTCAGTTGATATTCCCCGATCCACATCCTCTTGAGGCGGAAAATGAAACCGAAAATATGAATCAGATTCATTCCAAGAAGAATGATTAGTCACAAAGTTTGTTTGGTCTTTTATATAGTTTTGGTGAAACCCACTAGTCTCTGATACGTGTGTGGGTGTGTGATGTCCATGTCTATGGTAAGCTTGACCACTTTGACACACTTGCTATGTCAACTAGGTATACAATTTGTGTGTACATTTTACAGAAAGAATCACATCTGACTACGGCTAAAACGAACCAAAAGGGGCCACTAAAATCGATTCGTTATAATCATGATTAGTTGTGTACCCATTTCGACTAACATATACAGCAAATGGCAAGAACCCAAAATGCGGTTCGTTATATTCGTTAGTTCGTTATATCCGTCAGTTCGTTATATCCGTTAGTTCGTTATATCCGTTTGTTCGTTATATCTTCAGTTCGTTATATCCGTCAGTTCGTTATATCCGTTAGTTCGTTATATCCGTTAGTTCGTTACATCTTCAGTTCGTTATATCCGTCAGTTCGTTATATCCGTCAGTTCGTTATATCCGTTAGTCGTTATATCAGCCAGTTCGTTATATCCGTTAGTTCGTTATATCTTCAGTTCGTTATATCCATCAGTTCGTTATATCCGTCAGTTCGTTATAAACGTATGTTCGTTATATCAGCCAGTTCGTTATATCCGTCAGTTCGTTATAAACGTAGTTTACTGTATCGTACTGATAACATAATAAATGGATATATTTAAACTGAATAATTTTTTTGTCTATATGTATGTTAGTTAAAGCATCTTTAATGAACATACCAGGGACGATCCGGGTTAGATTTGATCTTCAGTAACCCATGCTTGTCGTAAGAGGCGACTAACGGGATCGGATGGTGAGGCTCGCTTACTTGGTTGACACATGTCATCGTATCATGCGTTGATCAATGATCATGCTGTTGATCACTGGATTGTCTTGTCCAATCTCTGACCGCCGCCATATAGCTGGAATACTGCTGAATGCGGCCTAAACCTAAACTCACTCACTCACTTATAGAACAATCATTTTATCTTCGTCCTTGTACTGAATGAACAAATGTCGAAACTATACTGACCTCTCATCTATGGTAGCAGTGGCATATTGTTATATGTGTGTATGTAGCTTATTATATAACGGATGAACGATGTACTGACAAGAGTTGTTCATATGAATAATAGATACATTTAAACTTCATGTAAGCGTTTTGTCGAGATGTATTTTACATCAAATCTTTACGAACAATCAATTTATCATCGTCCTGGTTTGACGGAATAAATATAATTCAAATTATGACCTCTGCACTTTGGGAACATTGACATGGCTGTTGTTATATGAGTGAAGCCGGCCTTTCAACTGATGTACATTGACATGGCTGTTGTTATATGAGTGAAGCCGTTCTTTAATCTGATGTACAATGACATTGTTAACATTCATAGCTGTACTCGTTGTGTTCATGATACGGTGTCCTTACGTTATATGAACATGGCCACTTGAAGAGCGACTCTCTACATCGTGCTGTGCGTTGCTGGTTGTATACACGTAAGACAACATCAACAGATTGATTCTTTAAAAACAATTTCTTCGACAGTGAAATGATTATTTGACGATAGCTCGTTGCTGCGAACATATTAGAGTGTTCCCATAATCAGTGATAACAGTCGGTATTCTCATGACTACCTGTTGGAAACAAATGGACTTGGAACTCAAAGTGTATCGCAAGTGATGAAGTGTTCACCATCAAGCATATTCTGCTTGACTGTGTGTACATTTCAAGTGAAGCGATAAATCTGAAATCTGTTTTACCTCGTGAGCGGGTATCTCATTGTGAACTACCATAGAGAGATTGGTCTATATCATAAATTGTAGCTATGTCTGTTCATATCATAAATTGTAACTATGTATGTTTGTAACAAAATGGCTGTTTGTGCCAAATTTTGTGCCATTATGTTTTCCGTTTGGACATATTAGTGTTATGAAGAGATATATATTTTAAGAAACACCATTTAAACTTTGTACCTTGAATGTGTACATGTACAGACTTGGTCTCGTCGCACAGTGGCTGTGATACAACCCTTGCCACGTACATTGATCAGTACATAAACTGTAACTATGTAATGAGTATGGCAAATTGCTTGCTTTTAACTTGTGCGTTATGACTTTTTCTGTTTGTTAATAATAAATGATGAACAATGAATCAATATGTTTGTAAGAAACTCATTTAAAAGTTGCATCGCTTTATGACTGAAATAATGCAGATGTGATGTAAACATATAATTTACTGGTTCACCATTGCTTGAAAAGAAGAGGGATCTGTGTTTGAGATGTTGTCTATTGTTTACAGAAAGATGTGGCATGAGAAGAATGCGGTAGTGTTGTCAGCGACAATGTGGCTCGGGGCAGTCCTGGTCCTCATATGTGAGTACATTCATTGCCTAAACTATGCATGATGTATGCTGTCACGCAATGTAACATGGAAACATGTTTGGGTGACGGTAGCTCTCAAAAGATCGCGGGATTTCGTTGTCTTCGTTGTCTTGTCGTGAAGAGTTGTCTTTTATTTCTACACACTGAAAACAAATACGTTTGTTTACAGTGGCCTTAAATACTTATCTACCTCTTACAAAATCAACCACAGTTACTAATGAATTAAAACTACATTTAAGACTTCTACAACATAAGTGGATAGATGGAAGCGATGACTTAAAGTGTGATTTACCATCATGGCGGTGAACAGGGCTCATCCCAACCACACACCACACACCACCCTCCACCCACCAACATCCTTCCACCCTCCAACATCCTTCCACCACCCAACGCCCACCACCCACAACCCTCCAACCACCAAACACCACACTCCCCCCTCCAAAAACCACCCTCCACCCACCGACTTCCACCCTCCATCCACCACACACGACACACAACAAACCACACACCACCCTCCACCCTCCAACCACCACCGTCCACCCTCCACACACCACACACCACCCTCCACCCTCCACCCTCCACACACCACCCTCCATCCTCCACCCACCACCCTCCACACATCACCCTCCAACCACCACCTTCCACCCACCACACACCACACACCAACCACTACCCTCCATCCTCCACCCTCCACACTCCACACACCACCCTCCACCCTCCACACACCACCCAACACCCTCAACCCTCCACACACCACCTTCCACACACCACCCTCCATCCACCACACATCACCCTCCATCCACCACCTTCCACCCACCACACACCACACACCAGACAACAAACCACACACCACCCTCCATCCCACACCCTCCACCCTCCACACACCACCCTCCACCCACCACACACCACCCTCAACCTTCCACCCACCACCCACCACCCACTACCCTCCATCCTCCACACTTCACCCTCCACCCTCCATCCACCACCCTCCACCCTCCACCCTCCACAACAATCTTACAAAAAAGCCCGTTTGAGTCAGAAACGGACCGATGAATTGTAAATTTTATCATTGTACAAAATTGCCACAGAAATATAAATAGTACACATGTTTATCATTTACTAATACCCAACAGCTTTCTGATATTTGAAAATTTTCCGGACTCCACCAAATAAGTTGTTTAAGAAACTATCATAATTGAAAACGCAAAAAGTTGTTTTCTGTCACAGCGGGGTGAAACCGCAGAAACGGAACAGCCAGACATGGCGGGGGACATCTCAAAATCTATTCCGGGCGATCTGTCGGTTCCTCGTCCGTCGTAGTGTCATAGTCACGACTTAAAGGGATGACAAGTGGTGCCACAGTTGCCTGTTGTGAGCCATCCCGAGACCAGTAACCTTGTTCAATGACGTTAGCTACTTTGTTGACACAGTTTTGCCAAGTTTCAGTCGTGATTTTGTTAAGGGATGTCGTGTTCGCATGAATTAACGTTTGGTAACATTAAAACTGTTTAGAGTAACGTAAACACATTCTCTAAATGTCAGATAATTTGAGGGAAAATGTGCTGATTCTAATAATCCCACATATATATAACACATTATTCATGAAAATATCATTTTAGAAAAAAACACATCCCTGTGGCGAAGTACAGATCTAACACATCAGACATACCGTGAACACCATATTATTATAGTATGATACATGTTGTGCAATTGTCGATAACTCACGATATCCGTCCAAGTATATAGGCGACTGTCTACCACAAATAACATGAACGAATATTCTTATGCTTTGTAAGGATTATTATTATCTCTAAGTTTCAACCTAAAATATAACGATATATACCTCCCATCAAAAGTTTTGACTCACTGAAATTACTCACTTTTATGTTATGTATATGTAACAGTGAATATGTCAAATCTGTGATTTTGTAAAATAACTGAAAATTTCAGGGATTTTATAAAATTCCTGACTCACTCTGTGGTTTCACAAAATCCCTGGAATTCCTAGGGATTTAAGAAACTCCCTGAAAATCATGCCTTTCTTACTACATTTCCCTAAAATGAATATATCGCATTCTCAGTGTTTGTTTTGACAATACTGCCGGATTATGTATAACAATTTCAGTGTTTTTGTCTAATGCCTCACTTAGTCTAATGTTTCACTCAGTGATTATGTCTAATGCCCCACTCAGTCTAATGTTTCACTCAGTGGTTATGTCTAATGCCCCACTCAGTCTAATGTTTCACTCAGTCTAATGTTTCACTCAGTGATTATGTCTAATGCCCCACTCAGTCTAATGTTTCACTCAGTGGTTATGTCTAATGCCCCACTCAGTCTAATGTTTCACTCAGTGGTTTTGTCTAATGTCCCACTCAGTCTAATGTTTCACTCAGTGGTTATGTCTAATGCCCCACTCAGTCTAATGTTTCACTCAGTCTAATCTTTCACTCAGTGATTATGTCTAATGCCTCACTCAGTCTGTTTCACTCAGTGGTTATGTCTAATGCCTCACTCAGTCTAATGTTTCACTCAGTGGTTTTGTCTAATGCCTCACTCAGTCTAATGTTTCACTTAGTGATTATGTCTAATGCCTCTCTCAGTCTAATGTTTCACTCAGTGGTTATGTCTAATGCCTCACTCAGTCTGTTTCACTCAGTGGATATGTCTAATGCCTCACTCAGTCTAATGTTTCACTCAGTGATTATGTCTAATGCCTCTCTCAGTCTAATGTTTCACTCAGTGGTTATGTCTAATGCCTCACCCAGTCTAATGTTTCACTCAGTGGTTATGTCTAATGCCTCACTCAGTCTAATGTTTCACTCAGTGGTTATGTCTAATGCCTCACTCAGTCTAATGTTTCACTCAGTGATTATGTCTGATGCCTCACTCAGTCTAATGTTTCACTCAGTGGTTATGTCTAATGCCTCACTCTGTCTGCTTCACTCAGTGGTTATGTCTAATGCCTCACTCAGTCTAATGTTTCACTCAGTGGTTATGTCTAATGCCTCTCTCAGTCTAATGTTTCACTCACTGATTATGTCTAATACCTCACTCAGTCTCATGTTTCACTCAGTGTTAATGTCTAATGCCTCACTCTGCCTAATATGTTTCACTCAGTGGTTATGTCTAATGCCTCACTCTGTCTAATATGTTTCACTCAGATATTATGTCTAATGCCTCACTCAGTCTAATATGTTTCACTCAGTGGTTATGTCTAATGCCTCACTCAGTGTAATATGCTTCACTCAGTGGTTATGTCTAATCACTGAAAGGAACCAGGGAAAATCTACTTGTTTACTGGCAGCATGCTACTGGGTATAACTGTATGTATATATATTAGGGGTGTCACGATACGCGAATGTATCGATGCATCGATACATTTTTATTGACGATACGATACGCGATACATGCTTGCGTGTATCGATTCCTATTTTAAAACTTTATCGATTCAAATTTTTATGCTATATCCATCTCCTTCAAAGTCTTGATAGTAATATTATACGAGACCGCTCCGATAAATAGATGTAGCTAGCTTTACTTAAACAATAGGTTGGAAACTAACAGCTTTTGTGATTGGCCAGACTATTTTGATGGACCAATCAGCGAGCGCATACGTTGCCGGTAAGGTAATGCTATGAAAAGGCGCGTAAATTATGTATCGCGATACGTATCGTATCGTGACCTTAAAATCGTGATACGTATCGTATCGTGAGATTGGTGTATCGTGACACCTCTAGGGTTACAACTGCCAACATTATGTAGATGAATTGTACGAGGATCATGCGTCAATTTGCTGAAAAGCATGTGCAAATATCGTGCATGTGAACAGCTGCGTTTTGGTGTAAAGTTTTGTCCAGAATTCGTCAATTTTCACTGATTTTTATCATTCATTGAAACTCATTTATTCATTCATTGAACTCACGACAATAATCCTTTCAACGTCACGAATTTCTTTTACAATACATCTGCTCATTTGTAAACAGTACCTTTAAACAGTATTGAATATTTTGCAAAATTTAGTTTTGAAATGTTGCCTGAAGTAAGTGACTATATTTACACTAGTGAGTCCAAACTTTTGAGGGTATGTTTTATCTTGACATTAAGATATGGATTTCGACAACCATTTTATAACCACCATGGTCCCCATTGTGGTGATCAGTTCCTGGCGACCTATGGCCAGTTTTTATAATGTGCGGTTCTACGCCGCTTTTGGCAATAATCCAGCAATATCATGGAGGGGGACACCAGAAATGGTACCACATTGTACTCATGTGGGGGATCAAACCCAGGGCTTCAGCGCGACGAGAGGACGCTTTAACCATTCGTCTACTCCACCGCCCTACTAAGCCAGTAAGGCTGCTCCAGTATTTCAGCTATATCACAATTTGTCTGTTTCCCTGTGGGAGGGAAACCCGAAGAAATGAAATGTGATGCCAGCTCCTACAATTGAGCATTTAGTTTGTTTGTGTGTTGTTGACCGCTGCACTCGTGACGGCAGTTTGTTAATAATCGAGACTTGACCCAACAACTCAGTGGTTGACATAATGAGCATCGATCTACTCAACTGGGATAAGATCACGAGGGCCTTGGACAGTGCCCCCCGTGTTCAGTACTGGTTAGAACGAATGCTATGTTTACAACATATTATTCTTTTACAATACATCTGCTCATTTGTAAACAGTACCTTTAAACAGTATTGAATATTTTGCAAAATTTAGTTTTGAAATGTTGCCTACAGTAAGTGGCTATATTTACACTAGTGAGTCCAAACTTTTGAGGGTAAGTTTTATCTTGACATTAAGATATGGATTTCGACAACCGTTTTATAACCACCATGGTCCCCATTGTGGTGATCAGTTGCTGGCGACCTATGGCCAGTTTTTATAATGTGCCGTGTATAAAGTGAGTGAGTTTAGTTTAACTCCGCTGTTAGCAATATTCCAGCAATATCACGACAGGTGACACCAGAAATGGGCTTCGCACATGATACCCAAGTGGGAATCGAACACGGGTTTTATGGTTACGGGGTGGTGTTTAATTCAAATCTGTGATATTCTAGATATTGTACTACCCTCTGTTTGTACGTATATCTATCGTGTAAGTCCTTTCATATTAATAAAATGCTTTTTTAGTCTCGGTATGGCTGAAATACTGCCGTTGAGACTTTCAGAGATTTTCACTCACTCACCCAATCATTATAACATCAGGTATTTCACAGGATTTACGTTGACTTAATCTAAGATTCAATTCATTTCTGTTTTGATTATATTTCAGCATCCCAAGTGTGTGGCCAGACGAACTGTGACTGGGGGAAGTATGGTGAAAACTGCGACAAAGCCTGTCCTGAACACTGTATTTTCAACAAAGATAGAAACCTCCAACACTGTCACAAGATCACCGGGAAGTGTTCCGAGGGCTGCATGCATGGTTGGCATGGCAACCAGTGCAATCATCCTTGTAGCAGCCACTGCCGTAACAACATCTGCAACCAACAGAATGGTTTCTGTGCCTTTGGCTGTGATAGAAGCTACACGGGAGATTTCTGCAACATGACTAAAAGTAGGAATACACAGATTGTAATACTTGGGTTGAGTTAAGTCCCATCCCTGATTCGAACCCACACTGTCAGATTTAGGCACCCAAATTCCGCCATTTAAACCACTCAGCCACCGCGTCTTCCGCGTCTGGACTGCGGAACTTGTGTACCCGTCTGAGAAATGTAAATTGGCAGGACTCCCTCGGCCGAGAGCTATGAATGCACAATGTCATTTAGAAAGTGGTCAAATGTATAACATGTTATATTTGGGATTATACGTTCTCAGTAAAGTACAAATTCTAGTACCTTTGTTAAGTTCAGTCCCATCCCCGATTCGAACCTACTTTGTCAGAGTTAGGCACCTGATCGCCAGCACAAACAGTCCGCCATCTATCCCACTCAGCCACCACGGCTTCCACTGGTGATGTGTTGTCTTAACTAGCAGGTTATCAGAGTCAGTCAAGAGTCGCCTGTTCTTACAAGTAGGCGAGCGAATGGGCGAGTGTGGTTCTACGCCGCTTTTGGCAATAATCCAGCAATATCATGGAGGGGGACACCAGAAATGGTACCACATTGTACTCATGTGGGGGATCAAACCCAGGGCTTCAGCGCGACGAGAGGACGCTTTAACCATTCGTCTACTCCACCGCCCTACTAAGCCAGTAAGGTTGCTCCAGTATTTCAGCTATATCACAATGTGTCTGTTTCCCTGTGGGAGGGAAACCCGAAGTAATGAAATGTGATGCCAGCTCCTACAATTGAGCATTTAGTTTGTTTGTGTGTTGTTGACCGCTGCACTCGTGACGGCAGTTTGTTAATAATCGAGACTTGACCCAACAACTCAGTGGTTGACATAATGAGCATCGATCCCGTGGCGGTGTGTTGTCCTGTGCGTAGAGCTCAGGTCACAATCAGTTGAAGTTAAGCAACGTTGGTCGCGGACAGTCCTCGGATGGGTGACCGTGTTTGGCAGCTTGACTCCTGAAAGTTTCTAGGACTTCAGTCCTGCCCCACAACGAAGCGCATGTGACGCATGTGGTCTCACCTTAGGCAAGTGAGTTTGTTCAAAATTGCCTCTGTCCACCCAGCAGTAAAATTGGGTACCTGGTATGATACGATGGTAGTCTGAATTTGAACCTTGAGCGCCTGACAGGCGACCGGTTGTATTATCCACATGGAGTGTTCTGTACTCGTTGACCAGGGGTAATATGTCAGCGCTTTGTGCATGCAATGTGCATGGATAAACGCGCAATATAAATGGACTATTATTATTATTATTATTATCTACTCAACTGGTATAAGATCACGAGGGCCTTGGACAGTGCCCCCGTGTTCAGTACTGGTTAGAACGAATGCTATGTTTACAACATATTATTCATATCCTGCTGATTGAAGAAAAGGCAAAATATCTGGGAATTATTGAATGGTGTAGTGATGGATGATTCAAAGACAAAAACATTGTTCATCACAGTTAATACACAATGCCTTTTAGAAAGTGGTCAAATGTATCATATGATATATTTGTGATTATCCTTTCTCGTTAAAGGACTAGATTCTGATACTGGCGATGAGTTGCTTGAGAGTGTTGGGTTCGAATCCCGGACGGGACAATACTATACATTGTCATATAACACAAGTTGCATAATTTCTTGCATCATGGCAAACATACAGACAGGCATACAGCCAACTTTGATTTTATTCTAAACTATGTCTTTTTGAAGAATATTTCACACTGATATTTATTAAGAATTCGATAGTCACATCTCTGGAAGTGTTTACAATATCACCAGTTAACACTGTGCCACCAGCCAAATGTTAACGTACATGTACTCGGCTTTGCTTTTATTAGTGAAAACATTGTAAAGTAATATTCTAATTCAATGAAACACGAGTTCTGATTGGTCAATGCTATAATTTTCCGACCGTATAATCAGCCTATACAGTCGCAATTTGAAAACCGAGTCACCAAAACCTTTGAATGTATCCCTACACTATTTGGGTAACGCTGTTTTTCAGGGCATTATCATTTGCAGAAGCCCTAGGTATGTTAATTCCGCTATTCCGCTAAAATGGTTGGAATGTTTGTTGAAAAAGACAAAACAGTATCATAAATTTAATTGTAAGTTTACTTCAAACAACTCGCAAAGGGCTGTTGACCCACCACTGTTAGATCATGTAATAAGATTATGATTTATTCATCATTTTCAGATTTAGTCAGTGTGAACATAATTAACGTGTTTAAGTTTGAAAAGTGAACTACTTTTTCTGGCGATGGTGTAAGTTCAAGGAGTGATGTGATTAACCTTTGCCCTAGAGGAACTTTGACCCGGTTTAAATAATGAATTCCTTTCACGAAAAAAACAGCGTGAAAAGAGTTGAATTAGAATGGGGATAACTGTACTGTGTTTTGACGAATTGGGGACGTATACCGGTGTTTATATTAGTAAATTAAATTAAACTTAGTTACATCGGAGACGCGTAAGCGGAGCCGATATAACGTTAAATTTGTGGCTATATAACCACCGGTATACGTCCCCAATTCGTCAAACACAGTACAATTATCAACTAAATTTACCCTAATAATAAAAATCAGTGGACATGCTTGATATCTTGAAATACGTAGTCTATGCAAAGATGAATTATGTCTCTTTTTGTTTAGAAAATATGACTACAAGCACTCACCAAAAGACCTTCACCTCATATATTCCTACATCGAGATTTCTCGTTATTTCAAATATTTGTGTATTTTTCGAAACTTCTTTACGTCGACTATTTCTTGGCAGGTTTTAGTTTATATTTTTTACGTTTTAATATAACTTGTCCATGCGAGAAAAACGCAGATTTGAAATAGCGGAAAATATCGGATTAAAAATAAATGTGACTGATACAGTGTCATGAGTACGTTTATTTCCTTACTCTTTTCCTCATTTGCTTTAAGGTACAGTACTGACGACACATGCAACGTTCCCAACAACAGAGGCGTCCCCATCGGAGCCAGCGACGGATCTTCTTGCGATCATCATACCTATCATTGTCATCATCATACTCTGTCTGGTGGCTGTGGTGATCTGCGTGGTGTAAGTGTACCGCTGACACAACTACTCATTCATCATACTCTGTCTGGTCATAGTGGCTGTGGTGATCTGCGTGGTGTAAGTGTACCGCTGACACAACTACTCATTCATCATACTCTGTCTGGTCATAGTGGCTGTGGTGATCTGCGTGGTGTAAGTGTACCGCTGACACAACTACTCATTCATCATACTCTGTCTGGTCATAGTGGCTGTGGTGATCTGCGTGGTGTAAGTGTACCGCTGACACAACTACTCATTCATCATACTCTGTCTGGTCATAGTGGCTGTGGTGATCTGCGTGGTGTAAGTGTACCGCTGACACAACTACTCATTCATCATACTCTGTCTGGTCATAGTGGCTGTGGTGGTCTACATGGTGTAAGTGTACAACTGACACAACTACTCATTCATCATACTCTGTCTTGTCATAGTGGCTGTGGTGGTCTGCATGGTGTAAGTGTACCGTTGACACAACTACTCATTCATCATACTCTGTCTGGTCAAAGTGGCTGTGGTGGTCTACATGGTGTAAGTGTACCGCTGACACAACTACTCATTCATCATACTCCGTCTGGTCATAGTGGCTGTGGTGGTCTACATGGTTTAAGTGTACAGCTGACACAACTACTCATTCATCATACTCTGTCTGGTCATAGTGGCTGTGGTGGTCTACATGGTGTAAGTGTACAGCTGACACAACTACTCATTCATCATACTCTGTCTGGTCATAGTGGCTGTGGTGGTCTACTTAGTGTAAGTGTACAGCTGACACAACTACTCATTCATCATACTCTGTCTGGTCATAGTGGCTGTGGTGTTCTGCGTGGTGTAAGACTACAGTTGACACAACTACTCATTCATCATACTCTGTCTGGTCATAGTGGCTGTGGTGGTCTACATGGTGTAAGTGTACCGCTGACACAACTACTCATTCATCATACTCTGTCTGGTCATAGTGGCTGTGGTGGTCTACATGGTGTAAGTGTACCGCTGACACAACTACTCATTCATCATCCTCTGTCTGGTCAAAGTGTGATGTTTTACATTGTTGTTTGTGATACATTGTTATAATTACTTATATGAATATGGAAAGCTTTTAGGCCTTCTTTAATGTCTGTGATACTTGGCGAAATAGTGTAATTCAAAAGAAAATAAATACTGGAATATTTTTTACAGTGCCTCAATACGTCATCAAGTCCCAGTTTATGTCAAAATGATACCTAAGTTCATAAGTCACAGGCTTTGGTATTGCGGCAATTATACCATATTTCCATGATATGGGGTCTTCACCATTAGCAGAACATAATGAGAAATGTTTACGCATTTAATCAATAACATATTACTTTTTAATTGCTTTGGCAGGGACAGGATGTACCTGTGCGAACCCGGGACCTTCCACTCACCGGGCGGACGCGCTAACCACTAGACCATGGAGGCGGTTTGCAAGAAAGAAGAAAGGTAGCGACTGATAACTGGTTTGATCCATAAACTCTTTCAGTACACACAAACGTGTTGGTTATGGTGAAAAACAGTCACTCATTATATCAACCACTGGATTGTTTGAACAAGGTTCTGTTGCAGAGCATCGCCTATATCATTGCTGACTCTGGCAGAAACACTCACTCACTCACGCACTCGACCACTGGATTGTTTGAACAAGGTTCTGTTGCAGAGCATCGCCTATATCATTGCTGACTCAGGCAGAAACACTCACTCACTCACGCACTCGACCACTAGATTGTTTGTATATGGTATAAGGCGGGAAAACACTCACTCACTCACTCTATTGAAGACTGGAGTTAAGCTTCTGTTACAGAGCACTACCAATAACATGGCTGACCAGGTTGATAACAACACTCACTAATTCACTCGGCCTTTGATTGTTTGTGCACGTTTTCGATACCTAAACTCTTATTAATAATATTATGATGTATATTCCAAATAAGCCTACATAAGTGGGGGTCATCTTATAAGAAGGTCAGATAAAACTTATTCAATTGCAATTCCTTCTTATACACTGCACTGTAATCTACCAAGTTTTCTACAAGGTTTAAAATAGATATCTATGATTGTGTAGCCCAGCTGCTTCAGGTGAATACTAATCAATATGTGTGTTCATCTGAGTATCAGTTTGTGTTCTAATACATATATATGTAAAATACACATATGAATAACGTTGCTTTAAGGCAGTATATTTAGTGAAATCCACACTAATACAGACTCATGCGATGTCTTTTCAACCATCCTGATTATTTTAATGATAGTTGGTTAAACAATAATGTACGTGGACATTTATTGTGCGACACATGATTCAATTACCGAGCTGCTGGATGCTCTATGACCAAATAGCTTATACAATACTCATCAATATTCAATCTAAATGCATGCTGTACATAATGGACCAGGCAATCAAGTGATCTACTGCATGAGCGTCGGTCTGTTCAATTGGGATAAGATAGCATTCAATTTGGGGGAAATTTAAAGGACCATTATTATACATATTATGTACCTCTGTTTAGAACGCTCTGTTAAGTTGGAGGTTGGTTTTCCGATCCTCTCTATATACTTTAATTTTGAAACAATTTGTAAGGTATAGAGAGCCTTCTGGGATTTGTTCTTTGAGTCTGCCATATGAGGCCGAAAAGCAAAATGATGATGGAAAATATTACCCATGAATTTGGTTTCCTTTACAATTGTAACAGCAGGACCGACTAACATTAATGTCGGAAAATACTTAGCAGTGTCTATTTTTCAATCTGCTTGATTATTTGTACTAAAACTTGCACTATCGGACAAAAATAAAGGATCGGGTCTATACCCTGACCTATAATATATACAATAAGCACTGATTGGAAGTATGCCCAGGCGTTGCCAGACAGTTCCGAGAAGACATCCGGGACATACTCGATACAACTTTTCTTTATTTAAACTGAAAACAATGAATCAACTCTGTTATGTTTGACGTGATTAACATCTGAAATTTTATGCGATCCCTTATTTGTTTCTCTCAGTATATGTGTGTCAGAAACACTGAGGCGAAGAGGCGGGCAGACCAGCATTGTTGGTGACAGTGTGTTGCCTCAACAGTTTACGGAAAGGGACGATTGGTTCAGAATGCAAAAACAATAAACAGCGCTATTATATCACGAGGAATCTATGAACAACGTGATACGTTCCGATTGCTTTCTTGGAATTTGTGAGTGAAACGTGATCACGTGACCACCTTTGCAAGGAAAGGTGTGGGAGTGTGCGATGTGTTACGAAGAACACAGAAAGTAAGAGTGGAAGTATGGAAGTAAATAATTGTACCGATATGTATAAGTGATGCTTTTGCGTAAACATTCTGTTATGAATTAATCCGCAATTATCTGTTATTTAAGATGGCATTTCGGATATACACGATTTTGGTTCCATGACAATTACAAAAACATTTGTGCAAACGCAACCAGTCCATCGCTCAAGGAAGTGAATTTGAAGTGGCGAGTTGGCTTTTTAGAGGAGGGGTTGTTAGTGGGTTGTTGAGAAGTGACGGCCCCGGCAGAAGTTAAAATCTTAAGCTATGGAAAAGCGGGTGAAAAGAGTCACAGAAACAGACGCTCTGCAAATGGCGTAGAATCTGGTTCAGTGATGAATCACGATTTCTATTGGAATGAAGCGATGGCAGAATGGTGGGTGTACAGACGTCGACGTGAACGTTTCGCCAATGCTTGCGTTCCCCAGGTGGACAGATTCGGCCAGGGAAGTGTTATGATGTGGGGAGAGATCACCTGCCGTAGGAGAAGTGATTTGGTGATGATCCAGGGCAAGCTGACAGCTCAACGGTACTGTGACGAAAACCTACTCCCACACCTCCTTCCAATCAATGATCGACAGAGGGAGGTGTTTCAACAGGACAATGCCAGGCCACACACAGCACGTCACACTAGAGACTTCTTCCAAAACCACAACATCAATGTGCCGGCCCTCAATATCACCGGACTTAAACCCGATCGAACATCTGTGGGATGCCCAGGACAGACGGGTGCGACGCCGTAACCCTCAGCCCCAGACACTTCAGCAACTCGCACAGGCACTACAGGCAGAGTGGGCTGCGATTGGGCAACACGAGATTCTGAGACTTATTCGTTCAATGCCGAGGCAATGCCGTGCAGTTCTGGATGCCCACGATGGTCACACGAGGTGTTGACTTCAGCGCCACCACACGTCTCCATGTGACACTCAAACTGACTTTCCTCGAGTTGGTGCCAAAGACGGATAAGTCTGCATTCCCAGTGTGCAATTTCGCTATATTTCATTGACTCATAAAGCCTACAAGATGTTTCAAAATAAACATAAAAATACAGTTGAAATTCCTATATGCGTTTCTTTTTTGGGAGAGTATATGTTACCACTATATAAATGGCATTGTGTTATAATATATAATTCATATCTCAAACAGCCGATCCTTAAAGATAGTCAGAGGATCACTTTGTCAGTGATTGGTTGGTGCATTCAGCCAATTAACATGTTTACAACGCAACCGAGCGTGTAGGCAATACTGGTGTCATACCCCCAATTAACACATTGAGCTGTTAATATTCTGCCGTTCACTAACTACAGAGAACTATTCTAGAAACTTGCAATATGAGGATGGTTGTGTGGGAATTTGTTCATCTAGCTCTTGCCATCACCATGACTTACAGCTCAGTTTTACAGTCATGTGGCATTCTGACATTTAACCATCATGGAAGTTTGGATGGACAAATGTTCAATGACACCTTCATCACTGAACGCAGTGTTTCTGACAAACCTGCATGCTTGTGGTGGTGTTTCCATGATCTGCAGTGCAACATGGTACTGCACAATCCAGCGTCTCAACGTTGCCGGTTGTACTATTCATCCGTCATCACTGGGGGTGAACAAGAGGCAGGCTGGCAGTATTATACAGGTAAGTATCTATTGCCTTATGCCAGTCACTGATATTCGCTTCGTGACAGATAATCTTGGCTTGTTATAAGACCGTGCTCCTTCATACTCCAGTATTCCAGCTATATGACGACAGCCTGTAAATATTTGAGTGTGGACCAGACAATCCGGTGATTAACACCGTGCTGCTTCGTACTCCAGTATTCCAGCTATATGATGGCAGCCTGTAAATATTTGAATCTGGACCAGACAATCCAGTGATAACACCATGAGCATGTGTCATCGAGCATAATAACAGAAGTTCACAATGAATTCAACAATGCATGACGACAGTGCAAGTTTTTCTCTTGGTGCAGTTTCGTTACATATGTGTTTGTCCATTTATTATTTGAAAGGTTGTTCTTTGAAAAACAAAAACATTCAGAAAAGAGTATTCAATCAGTGAAGGTCTTATATGCCAATGTCGCTATATGGCTGACAATTTTACTTTTTAACTCACTAATATGTCAGTTCAACCTTCAAAATTAAAGGCAGAGAAAGATAGACGGGAACTATGGCTTCATGGAAGTTTAATCATTCCATGGCACGAAGGAACAGAGTTTGTCCCTTTATCTTATGGTTCCTCGAGAACCAGTTAAATTTGAGACCTGTGAATGACCGATTTTTATTACTTTCCTTTTTTTACTACAACGAATTATGTGATGTCCAGTGAGTGCAAGACAGCTTTTTGTACTCTCTTTCTTTGGAATAGATATTGATAAATGTTCAGGGTTCTAAATGAATCAATAGATGGGTCCATTTTGTTGTTGATTTTAAAAGTGGGAATGTTTAATCAAAGTTCCTAAAATGTTTGCTTCGTCAAAGAAAGAGAACCACTAGATAAATTTTGATTAGCTTGCATGTGTTGTAAAGTAAGTAAAATATTATGATCTGTGGTTATTGATGGAGGTTCCATTCTGGGAGCTACAACTGTGTTAAGGTTTTGTCCCATGACAGTCTCTAGTAAGTCCATCATTGATCAACGTAAGGGTCGGTCTAAATGCTGCTGGGAAGTGACACAGGAAGGAAGGGTTCTGTAAGTCCTCATGATCCCCAGTAAGGTGGTCTCAGTTTGGTTACTGGTCTTTCATAGGTATTAATTAAGGGGGGTTATATAACTGTCATTTGTTTTGAGTTATTCTAAACTATGACATACACCACAGTCTAGTTGTCCTTGGTCGACACACCTTTAAATATGAATATATTGTTTTCATTGCTATATGAAATGAGTTGAGTTGTTGCGTTTTACGTCGCATCGCCTTATTTCAGCCATACAGCGACGACATTCTTCAAGGGCATTTAGAAGTTGGTGTAATAATACAAGACAAATCTATCGATAACGACCTTTCCGTGCTGGTTCTTGCCCCTTCGTATGTAGCGACGAGACCAGGTCTGCATAAATGAACATTTTAAGTACAAAGTTTAACTGATCAGGGTTTTTAAAAAAACAAAAAAACATATTTATTCAATGCTTTTTATTTACAAACAGAAAAAAGTCATAGCACAAAAGTAAATACTTGCAATTCGTCATTCACATTATATTGTTACAATTTAGGATACTGGTCAACTTCCCTCAATTCGTTAACAATGAGATACCCGCCCACGCGTGAAAACATATCTTTCTGATTTCATTCCTACATTACTGTAAATTTTGCCACTGCAATGTAACATTTTAACTCATTGACTTGTCGACTGCGTTAAATAACACATTGTAATTACAAAGCGAGGGGGTGAGTGAGTTACGATATTAACTCACATCAGCGATTGTACTCGAATTAAGCCGTCACTTAAAAGAACAAAAATACTTCGATTAAAAAAATGGTAGACACAAACATATCTTAAGAGACATGGACTTACATACCCACTAGGTAGGGCAATAATGGTATGGTACTTCAGCCCCCATCAAGGGCATAGTCAAGAACAATTTGGGTTGATCACAATCTCTCGATTTATTTCAATTTCCTTTAAATAAGCAATGATTAAATGTGAACCAATACTATTACAAAGAACCTTCATTGATGATGATAGGAAATATTGATCCCTTGTGATGGAAAAATCAAAACAGTCATGCAGGAGTTTAGGAACTGGTCGTAGAGTGCCTGAAGATCAGATTGTTGAAGAGCAAAATTTAAGTATCTTATCTCGAAAATTCGTCAATTAAGACATATCTCTATCCATTAGGATGTTCCCGTAACTTTTTCGCTTCATAAAAGAGTAAGTATCTGCATCGATTACGGTAGAAATAATGATGTTGATCATCCAACCTGAAACACTATAGTCGTCAAATCGAATTAATTATTTCAATGCTTCACGTATTATATTGATTCCCAAGTTGAAACTAATGCAGTAGTTAAATCTGTTAGTAAAAGAACCCAGTTTCATACCAACAAACAACAAAAGAATGAAATACAATCAACCATTGTATTCAAAGTTTATAAATTAATACAAACTACTGCAAAGGTATAACAATGGCAGCAAAAATGAGTGTGTTTGTGAGTCAAAATGTTACGTTATATGAACGTTATTTCACCCATATAGTCTGCACACTTACACATTTTAAACACAATGTTTAAATGAGTTTCTTGAAATATATATTTATTCATTACACTATTATTGACAAACAGAAAATAATTTAAAATAAGCAATTTATCTTACCCATTACACAGTTACAATTTATGATATACATCATTTTCTCTCATTGAGATGCAGATGCAATGGGAAAAAGGTTTTCAGATTTGTTGTTTCATAATGTGAGTCCCTCTCAGTTGTTATATACTTGGAAAGCAACTGGTTGTATTCCTGGTGGAGTGCCAAAGGATTCGTTTAAGGCTTTTTGAGTATGGTGAGGGTAAAATCGACCTGTGGTCTCACCATCTACCAGGGTGGGGAAGACAGAAGTCGGTAAGGTCAACCTCTGGTGTCACCATCTGCCAGGGTGGGGAAGACAGAAGTCGGTAAGGTCAACCTCTGGTGTCACCATCTGCAAGGGTGGGGAAGACAAAAGTCGGTGAGGTCAACCTCTGGTGTCACCATCTACCAGGGTTGGGAAGACAGAAGTTGGTAAGGTGAACCTCTGGTGTCACCATCTACCAGGGTGGGGAAGACAGAAGTCGGTAAGGTCAACCTCTGGTGTCACCATCTACCATTGTGGGGAAGACAGAAGTCGGTAAGGTCAACCTCTGTGGTCACCATCTGCCAGGGTGGGGAAGACAAAAGTCGGTGAGGTCAACCTCTGGTGTCACCATCTGCCAGGTGGGGAAGACAAAAGTTGGTAAGGTCAACCTCTGGTGTCACCATCTGCCAGGGTGGGGAAGACAAAAGTCGGTAAGTTCAACCTCTGGTGTCACCATCTACCAGGGTGGGGAAGACAGAAGTCGGTGAGGTCAACCTCTGTTGTCACCATCTGCCAGGTGGGGAAGACAAAAGTCGGTGAGGTCAACCTGTGGTGTCACCATCTGCCAGGTGGGGAAGACAAAAGTCGGTGAGGTCAACCTTTGGTGTCACCATCTGCCAGGTGGGGAAGACAAAAGTCGGTGAGGTCAACCTCTGGTGTCACCATCTGCCAGGTGGGGAAGACAGAAGTCGGTAAGGTCAACCTCTGGTGTCACCATCTACCAGGGTGGGGGAAGACAGAAGTCGGTAAGGTCAACCTCTGGTGTCACCATCTGCCAGGTGGGGAAGACAAAAGTCGGTGAGGTCAACCTGTGGTGTCACCATCTGCCAGGTGGGGAAGACAAAAGTCGGAGAAGTCAACCTCTGGTGTCACCATCTGCCAGGGTGGGGAAGACAAAAGTCGGTAAGGTCAACCTCTGGTGTCACCATCTGCCAGGTGGGGAAGACAGAAGTCGGTAAGGTCAACCTCTGGTGTCACCATCTGCCAGGTGGGGAAGTGAAAAGTTGGCAAGTTCAACCTCTGGTGTCACCATCTACCAGGTGGGGAAGACAAAAGTTGGTAAGGTCAACCTCTGGTGTCACCATCTGCCAGGTGGGGAAGACAAAAGTCGGTAAGGTCAACCTGTGGTGTCACCATCTGCCACGGTAGGGAAGACAGAAGTCGGTAAGGTCAACCTCTGTTGTCACCATCTGCCAGAGTGGGGAAGACAGAAGTCGGTGAGGTCAACCTCTGGTGTCACCATCTGCCAGGTGGGGAAGACAAAAGTTGGTAAGGTCAAACTCTGGTGTCACCATCTGCCAGGTGGGGAAGACAAAAGTTGGTAAGGTCAACCTCTGGTGTCACCATCTACCAGGGTGGGGAAGACAGAAGTCGGTGAGGTCAACCTCTGTTGTCACCATCTGCCAGGTGGGGAAGACAAAAGTCGGTGAGGTCAACCTGTGGTGTCACCATCTGCCAGGTGGGGAAGACAAAAGTCGGTGAGGTCAACCTCTGGTGTCACCATCTGCCAGGGTGGGGAAGACAAAAGTCGGTGAGGTCAACCTCTGGTGTCACCATCTGCCAGGTGGGGAAGACAGAAGTCGGTAAGGTCAACCTCTGGTGTCACCATCTACCAGGGTGGGGGAAGACAGAAGTCGGTAAGGTCAACCTCTGGTGTCACCATCTGCCAGGTGGGGAAGACAAAAGTCGGTGAGGTCAACCTGTGGTGTCACCATCTGCCAGGTGGGGAAGACAAAACTCGGAGAGGTCAACCTCTGGTGTCACCATCTGCCAGGTGGGGAAGACAAAAGTCGGTAAGGTCAACCTCTGTTGTCACCATCTGCCAGGTGGGGAAGACAGAAGTCGGTAAGGTCAACCTCTGGTGTCACCATCTGCCAGGTGGGGAAGTGAAAAGTTGGCAAGGTCAACCTCTGGTGTCACCATCTGCCAGGTGGGGAAGACAAAAGTTGGTAAGGTCAACCACTGGTGTCACTATCTGCCAGGTGGGGAAGACAAAAGTCGGTAAGGTCAACCTCTGGTGTCACCATCTGCCACGGTGGGGAAGACAGAAGTCGGTAAGGTCAACCTCTGTTGTCACCATCTGCCAGAGT